TGATAAACTTTAAACATTTTATAGCCTTAAACATTTAAACATTTTTTTAAAACCCGTTTTTGTAATATCAAAACAAAATACCCCTTTTGTAGGAGAGAAGTCACAAGGCATAACCATAAATCTAACAAAACCAGATTTTAAAACCAGAATTTACCAATGTAAACAACTTAATTTTTAAAACCAATGCCAATTTAAAATAACTCATTCTTTTAACCTAGAAGGAAATGAGAATTATTTGACCAAGGTTTTTTTTTTGTTGTTGTTGTTTTTTTTTTTACCCATACCAAGATGGCGGTTAAATTATAACCCACATGTTAAAGTCAAGATGGTGGTGAGGCACTGAGGTACCTCATACACCACGTGGTAACCCATGCGTTCATAGATCTAATGAACACATAGGCACACATTTTAAACAAGTTTTGTGAGGCCTTTTAGAACAGAAAACAGAAGGTACAAATACTGCACAGAGACATTGAGACAAAAAGAAACATTAACCAGCTGGCCAAATTTATTGAAAATACTGATGAAGTTAGGGGCGTCCCCCTGAACTTCGGCAGCTGTGACCACCTCGATCACATCTTGCTACCCAGATACAGGCACCTCGAGCTCTGAGGAATTTTTAGAACAGAGAACAGAAGGTACTACACGCACAAACATTGCACAGAAACATTTAGACACGGCTGGCATACAAGAACAAAACACAAGACAAGGACAAAAAACAACCGCGGTACCTGCTTTTTAAACATTTAAATATATATACAGAGCATAACCATAATTTTAAGTCAGAACTAGAAAAATTCAGAATTTATCAGTGAACACAATTTAATCTTTAAAACTAGAAGTGGCTCCATCTTTCTGGTTTCTGTTTGAGAGCTGGCTGAAGCTGACACTGGCTGAAGCCGGGAGGGGGCTGAGTAAATTGCAGTCCTGCTGAGCTCTGCAGCTGGCAGAGGCAGGTCTTAGGCCTCTGAGGGTTTAGGCGTTCTCATCCACCCAGTTCTCCAAAAGCCTGGCCCTCGGTAGGGGAGTGGGAAGGAGACAAGTAGAGTCCCAGTTCCTCCTGCTCACCGTGCTACGGCTCCGGCTCCGGCTCCGATCCATGCCCTTTGCCCCAGCCCACTTAGGGGCCTTCTTTGGGAAAAACGGGGAAAGCTAGGGAATTAACAGTAGTAACAGGGGGACAATTATTATCTTATCTTGACCTCTTTCTCTAAGGTCCTCGAGAGGGCAGGCTCCAACCTGATCCCACTTTTTGGCATATCTCTGGCCCATCAATAACAAACCATGGACAAATGTCTGACACAAAAACCAAGAACTTAATTAAGTCTTTTTTCTTAACCCGAATTCCTCTCTCTCTGAGGGAAGTCTTTAATTCTTTAACGAATGATTGCCCCATCTTGAATTTAGACGGAAATGTAAAGCATTTACTTACCAGACTCTTGTCGTCCCACGGGTGATGGAACGGGAGCCTCTAATCTTGCCTTGGCCGAGGTCTTCGCTTCAGGGTCCGTCTGGAGAGACCCGTACTTCGAGCCCTCACGTTGGGCGCCACTCTGTCCCGCCCCGCGGGACTCAGTTATTCGTGGGGGCGAAGGGGGTCAATCCTGAAAAAGATGGGGGAGAGAGAGAAAGGACACAAGCAGACGGTTGCAGGTCAAGTGTCTCTTTTAATGAACTTTGGTGTTTCTTTTAAAACGTGGTTTTGGTAGGGCGGGGGAGAGGGGCGAGAAAGGGGAGTAGTAGTGGAAAAATACCAAGACCCTTGGTGGGAAGTTCCCAAGGCTAAGAAGGTGGGTTAAAGAGTTACCAGGCCCGAAGATAACATCGGTGGTCACATCGGTGGTCACGGATGTGTCCCAAAGCAAACAGTTTTGGGAACAATGGGTTGTAAGAAGCTATGGCCTGCTGGCGCCCAGTGCTTATCTGGTAGGTCAGGCCCTTAGGAAGGGTCCCAGGGCTTTGCTCCCAACAAAAAACAAACAAACAAACAAAACTGGGCACAGTGGCCTGCACTTATAGTCCCAGCGCTGGGGAGGCAGATTCAGATGGAACCCTGGGGTTTGATGGCCAGCCATCATAGCCTACTTAGAGTGAAGGCTAAGAGATTTTTGTCTCAAAACCCACGTGGACAATGCCTGAGGAATGATGCCCAAGGTTGACCAGTGCCACACACACACACATACACACACACACACACACACACACACACACACACACACACACACTTGCTCCTCTCACCATTAAAATAAAATGGCTATGACAAAATGACAAGATCTGTTCTTCTTTTTCTAATAATCTAGATATAAATGAATTACATTCAGGATTTAGTAACGTTGCCCCCTACAGTCTAACTGGCAGTCAGTGATTCTTTTAAAATGTAAGTCAAGTCCTCTTGTTCTACTTAAGCCCTTCAGTGACATTCTACCCCTCTTGGAACATTCTAATGACTTTGTAAGAACTTAGCACTTGTGAGGGTCCATGTGGTTTAATGCCCATCTCCAATACCACGACTGGTCCTACTTTTCTTTTTATTTTACTTTTTTGTGTATATGGATGTTTACCCGCACACACAACAGTGGACCACATTTGAGCAGTGCCCACAGAGGCCAGAAGAAAAACCATCTCTTGGAACTAGAGTTCCAGAAAGTTGTAAGCTGACATATTGGAGCTAGAATTAAACCCAGGTCCTCTAGAAGAACAACCAAGGCTCTAAACCACTGTGCTATCTCTCCATCCCCAATCCTAGCCTTTCATTAAACCCGCCAGGCACACTTCCACCCCAGGGCCTTTGCATGAGGTAAGTCTCTACCTATAAATCCTAACTTGGCTATCCTTGTCACCTCCTTCAATCTCTTTACTCAAATGTTGCCTTAACAATGAGGCCAACCATCCTATGTAAAATAGCAAAATCATTCCTCATCTTAACGTGTTTAAGTCCAGCACTTACAAACCATCTGTATATTTATTTATTTTTATTTTCTTCTATAGAATTTGGTTTACATGCGGATAGGTATTTTTTATGTATGTTGTGCTTTCAATAGATCCAAAAATATTTTTGTGCTCATTAATTATATTTTGAGAAACAAGGGAAATAGATCAGTGGCTAAGAGCACTGGCTTCTCTTCCAGAGGACCTGAATTTGATTCCCAGTACTCATATTTGGAAGCTAACAATTATCTTTAACTCCAGCTCCAAGGGATCTGACACCCCCTTCTGGCTTGCAAGGACACAGGATATATACATGGTGTACACACTTGCAGGCAAAACACCCACACACAAAAATTTAAAATTAATGATAAACATACTTTGAATGAGTGGCTACAACGCTGACTTCTCATAGACGCAAATAACTTCCATAGTAAGAAGTGGGCTGCCCCAAGTAGCTTTGCTGGAGATTGCGTTTAGTCAGACGTGAATTGATCTAATTGATCGAGGTAGAAATGTTATCAAAAGCTTGTATATACCTAAGCACAGTTCCTCTCGTATTTATTTATTTCGAGACAGGGTCTCAGTATGCACCCCTGGATAACCTGTAACCGATTATGTTCACCAAGCTGGCCTCAAATTCAGAGAGTTCTGCTTCTGCTTCCGCCTCTGCCTCAGAGATTAAAGGCAGGCCTGGAACTTCTAGCCTTTTTTTTTTTAAAAAAAAAAAAAAAAAAAAAAAGGTTTTCTGCATGTATATGTGTGTGTGTGTGTGTGTGTCCATAGGGTGCACTTTCAAGTGTGTAGGTGTAGAGGGTGAAGTTGACATTGAATGTCTTCCCCCATGAGTACCTCTGTTTATTGAGGTGGGGTCTCTCCCTGAGGGGCTCACCAATTCAGCTAAGCAACATTTAAGCAACACCTCTATCCCAGAAGATCTGGAAACTGTGAATTTTATTTGGTCGTGGTGGTTTTCACTATAAGCTTTGACACCGAGGTTAATTTTGCAATCCAAGGTCACAGCGCCACACCTGAAAACTGAACTACAATTCCCAGAGTGCATCGCTAACCTCTCGGTGAATGCTGGGAAGTGTGGCTGCAGGCTTTGTGGGGAGGGAGGGCAGAGAACGTTGATTTTAGTTACTGTCAAGGGCGAGGACATAGCGATTAAATTACATTTCCCAGAGTGCATCTTTAGGAGGATTCTGGGAGAGTGGCGGAAGTAGCAGTCCCACCGGGAAGGGACGAGAGAAACCTTTTGAACTTGAACGTTTGGAACTTCTAGGGTTTGGCAGACCTTTGGGATAGAAGGCATCTCAGAAAGAACTCAGTGAGTACAGTGAAACAAAACCTGTTCTAAGTGCATACAGGATGTAGTCGTAATCGAAGCCTGGCAGATGCTCTCGGTTACAGAGTTTGAAAGTTTTAACATAAACCTTTCTAATCTGGAGGAAATGGACCATTTTGCACTCAATATTGAGTACTCATTTTGCACTCAATATTGATTATTTTCTGAAACGTTTTTGAAGAGCTATTTAAAAATGGAAATTTCCAGTTTCTCGCCTTTTCCCTTAATTTTTGAAGTGGTGGTTGTATCTTTTAGAAGTAAATCATAACGTTTTTCATATAACCCAGGGCACCCGAGACCGTGAAGTCTCCATCATGGCGGCTCCTCGGCTTCGCATCGTTCGCAGCCCATCGAAGTCCACAGTGGAGTGGATGTTCCCCGGGCACCCATGAAGATTCAGAATGAACACTTTGTCACTTTTTGTTGTTTTGTTTTGGAGATAGGGTTTCTCTGTGTAGCCTTGGCTGTCCTGGACTCGCTTTGTAGACCAGGCTGGCCTCAAACTAACAGGGATCCTCCTGCCTCTGCCTCTGCGTGCTAGGATTATAGGCGTGCTCTACCGCTCCGGGCTGCTTTGTCACGGTTTATGTCCTATAAGTCATTCCTACTGGAAAAATGAACAGGATGAGAAATGTGTGTCTGGATGTCACAGAAGTTCATAAGGATCCTGCCTTGGCATTTATCGTTTGGGGTAAAAAGCATTTCATCTCAACTATAACTCTTTACACACACAGACAGCGGGCACCTGTGCAAATTCCTGAGTGCAGATGCAAGCATGTGGTAGCATGCATATAGAGGCCAGTGGGCAACTTTGGGGAGTCAGTTTGCTCATTCCACCATGGGTTCCAGGAATAAACTCCGGTCATCAGGCTCACAGAGCAAGTGCTTTTAGTGGCAGAGCCATCTTGCTGGCTCCCAACATCACAATCTTTAAATTTTTATCTTTTGTGTATTCATGTATGTCTGTGTGGCACATGTGGCCCTGGTACCTGTGGAGGCCAGAAGAGAGCATTGAATCCCGTGGGACTGGGGTTACAGACAGCTGTGGGTTGCGATGTGGGTGCTGGGACAGAACAGCCAATGTCTTCAAAGGCTGAGCCATCTCCAGCTCCTATAATTTTTTATTAACATTCTTAAACATAGTCTTTCCTCCCTAGGATAAACTCTTAGAAGTAGAATTTTAGGTAAAAGAAAGTTTATTTAACACATTCATAGTTATTCCTTAAAATAATTGGAGCAGGTACATTTCTGAGTTCTGTATGAGCTAGTGAAGTTGACCTTAAACACACACCTTTAGACCATTAATATTACACCTTCACACCATCAGAGTGTTGTAGCCCACACAGCATATACTTCCTTCTGTGAACATGATTAATACTGCACATTTTTGTTTCTTAAGCGACCTTGTATAACTTTAGTACCTAACATTTTGTTGCTAAATATATTTTACCCTTGCCTAGGTCATAGATCATAACCAAAACTACTCAAGGATTAGTCATCAGTGACTCATAATTGTGCAACCCAGAAGCAGGCCTGAACTATAAACATTTCTCAGTAGGCTGGTGTCAAAGCCTGCTTCCCATGGGCACAGTTAAGAGGTGGTTGGTTGTTTAACTGTACTAATGGCTTTACTTTCTCAGTGGAATTCAAGTCACCTTGTACAGGAAAGACAATACATACTGGTACACAATTTGAAAAGAAATTTTGTGTTGGGTTTCAGACCCCAGGCAGGCGGCTGAGGTGCCTACTAAAGATACAAAAGTGGACCTGGCCTCCAGGTTCTCCCAGCATCCCTCTGTCCCTACAGGGCATGGCTGGCATACCCTGCCCTCTACCCTGAACTCTCCAGCCCAGGGTTTGGGTTTCCCTTCCCTCAGATGCTCTTCACTATATAACCAGACATTTTGGCTCTCTCTCTCTCTACACTTCTCTTTCCCACGATGTGCATGCACTCTCTTTTTCTCTTCCTACCCCCCATCTGCATGGCAGTTCTACTGAAACCCCTTCTGTGAGGTTGGTGAACTCACCAGAGAGCTGTCCCCAACAAACCTGCCTTTATATACTTTGATTCAGCTTGAATTGGCTTATTTTGTCAGTGGAGAAAGTCTGTCACCCAGAAGTGGCACTTCTTAGACCGCTGGGAAAGGATTATTCATGGAGTCTAAAGTCAATTGTGTCAGGTAGAGAGAAAAGGGGAAAGGATCACTCCCCAGTCCCCATGTGACCAAGAGCAGCTTGGCACACCAGTCTATGGCCTCAACTCCTCCCAGGTTTGGGCTCTAAGATAATAAGCATGTGTATGCAGGAAGAGAGAAACTAAGAGAGAAATGGAGGGAGGGGAGGAGAGAAAGATACTGAGAGAGAGAGAGAACCAAAATGTATGTCTGGGGAAGGGAAGCCCAGCCCCTGGGCTAGAAAGTTCAGGGTAGAGGGTGGGACATGCCAGCCATGCCCTGTTACAGGTGGGGACTGAGGGATGCTGGGAGACTAGGGGGATAGCTCAGTGGTAGAGTTCATAGCTTACATGGGCCAGACCCTGCACTCAATCCCCAGAACATAATAAACAAACAAAGTTTAGGTTCTTTTTTTGTTTTCTGAGACAGGGTTTCTCTGTGTAGCTCTGGCTGTCCTGGGAACTCTCTCTGTAGACCAGACTGGCCTCCAGCTCATAGAGACCTGCTTGCCTTTGCCTCCCAAGTGCTGAGATTAAAGGGTGCACTGCTACCACTATCCAGCTATTTTTAGCTTAATATGGTGGAAGAATTTTTCCTTTTTAAGAATGCCTTTCTGATTCGTGGTGCACTGACACAGCTTTGATCCCAGCAGAGGAAGAAGCAGGCAGATCTCTGAGTTCCGAGGCCAGCTGTCTACAGAGCAAGTTCCAGAATAGCCAGGACTATTAACACAGAGAAACCCTGTCTTGAAAAACCAAAAACCAAAGCAAAGCAAACCAAAACCTTTCTGCTATTATTAAATACAGTTCTAGGGATTAAACCAAAGGCCACGGGCATGCTATGAAAATCTTCTATCATGACTCCACTCCCATCCCTACCCAATATGACTTTGACCAAAGTTCATTTCTTAAAAACAGTCCAGTGCAGAAGAGTTTTGGTTGGTGGTGAGCTTCTCCATATGTGAATCAAGGATCCAAGCTACTCCATCAAATGGCTCTGCCTTTTCCATAGGAGTCTTCAAGCAATTGGAGAAGCCAATGTGTCATTCTAGAAGGAACACACACCATTTCCACTTATTCCATATTGTTAATATCCAGGCATGGAATGAGGAAGGAGAGAGATATGGTTTATTTTGCTACCACTTCCCTGCAAGAGCTCCACACAGTAAGGAAGAAAGAAATGCATTGCTAATCATTTAATTAGCTGATTCTCATAACTTACTAATTTAGCAAAACAGTTTCAATTTTGTATGTTAGAAAATAAGCCAGGTGTGGATGCCCATGCCTTTAATCCCCGAACTTGGGAGGCAGAGACAGGCAGAGAACTTCTCTGGAAGTTCAAGGTCAGCCTGCTTTACAAATTCCAGGACAGTCTGGCTACACAAAGAAACCTTGTCTCGTAAAAAGAAGAAAAAGAAAATAAGCACTGGGAATTTGAAATCCTTTTAGTGATAAAATGCAATGAAGGCCAGGGGTGATTTTGCACATCTAAAATCCCAGCACCCAGCAGGTAGAGGCAGTCAGAATTTGAGGTCAGCCAGGGCTACATAGTGATGCCCTATCTTTAAAACACACACACACACACACACACACACACACACACACACACACACATACACAAACACACACACAAACACACACCTACAACAACAAAACAATGTCAAAGTCTGTTCACCTGAGTCTTGTTTTTTTGTTGTTGTTTTGTTTTTTTTTCCTGATAATGCAAAGTGATTCTATTCTGGCTTAAACTATGACTCTCTTGTTGATTTATTACTTTAAAGTGCATACTATGATGGAAACAAACAAAAAACTCCTCAATTTTTCTCTAGGAACCCAACAATGTCTCTGTATTGTGGAACATTTTTCAGGAGGAAATCTTTTTGGTGCTATAGGCTGCTGTCAACCTATGTCACTAAGACACGGTGAGTTCTGACCAATCTGATTATTTTTGGCATATTAAATAGTAAAATGTAAATGCTTAAGAACACCACATTAAGAATTAAATGTATAAAATAAAAATTACACATAATAATGTCCACTGTAAATTATTTACAATTGAAAGCCATTCAGTATTAAATTTCCTATATTATAAATAATTAAAATGTTTCATACTCTTGACTATAAGCTCTACTCAAATAAGACATTGCCCTTTTGGCCATCAAAAGTGGTGATGCACACCTATAATTCCAGCATGTAGATGGTGGAGGCAGGAGGATCAGAAATTTAAGATCATTCTCATCTACATAGAGAATCTGAGGTTAGCCCATATTATATAAACACTCCCAAAAAAAAAAAAAAAAAGAAGAAGAAAGGCAGGAAGGAAAGACTGTCTTCTTTTGTTATTGCTGTTGTTACTGTTTTGTTTTGAGACAGGGTCTAGGTGTATTTTTTTCATATATCTGTACATATTTATGGCAACACATGTGGAAAGGGTGAGTGTGCATATACACATGGGGGCAGAGGTTGACCAGATGTCTTTAGTCACTTCTCTACCTTACTATTTATTTTTTTTTTTAAGTTTCATGTATGGGTATTTAGCCTGCATATGTTTGTGAAATGTATGTATTCCATGTCCACAGAAGCCAGAGGTGGAGTCAGATTCTCTGAAACTCATAGAAATGGTTATGAGCTGCCACCTGGGTGCTGCAAACTGAACCCAGGTCCTCTGGTAGAGCAGTCAGTGCTCTTAAATACAGAGCCTGTTGGGGTCCAAAGATTCAAAACAACCCAAGCAGGCACAAGAGTCCAGCAAAGCAAGGTCTTTATTTGAATTAGGTAGCAAAAACTGACCAGTCAGGGACAACAGCACAGACTCAGGAGCTGACTTTGTCTTCAAATGTTCATCTTAATAAGTATTTAAGCAGATGTCAAAAATGTACTGTACTCAGGCTGCGCCTGGGCCACCAAACAGACTCCGGAGCTGAACATCAACACACACCGCACTCCCAGCTAGAATGTTAGAGTCTCTAAGCCTGAAACCTACACACATCTGCGTCAAGTTACAGTTACGTTTCCTCACCAATCAGGAGTTAGGGTAGGGGATTCCCTTAGGAACATGTTCTTGTGGTAGGTACCTTATCCTGTTCCCACTGGTTGGGTTATTCATATGTGGCGGGGCATTCATGTCTCAGCTTGCCAAGCAGGATGTCAGTTACCCAGGGAGATCTTGGGAACTTAAACTTTATTTGACCCCTATTCAAAATGGAAGTTTTATTCCAAATGGCTTCAGTTTGTTGCCTCCTTACAAGCCGTATCTTTAGTCCGCCACCTATTTTTTGAGATGAAGTCTCTCACTGAACCTAGAGCTCACTGAGCCAGGTATCCTCTCATCTCTACTTCTGCTTCTCTGGCACTGGGATTATAGAGCTCTGCCCATAATGTGTGTGTGCGCGCGTGTGTGTTACAGATGCAAACTTGGGTCTTCACGTTGGTAAAGCAGGTACTTTGCTAGCTGGGTCATCTCCACTCTCCCTATTTGGGTTTTGAGATAGGATCTTGCTATAGTTCAAGGTGGCCTTGAACACTCTAGCCTATCAGGTGCGGAGCCTGCCTGTCTCGTCACACCTGGCTAAGACTCTGACTTCTCTTTGTGGAATCTTGTGGCTTCACACACAGTAGGCAGTGTAATATTGTTAGGTGAATACACAGGAAGGAAGATGTTAAAGCAAACCTGTTCAGTGGGATTTTAACAAACACTATATTGACTAGTTTATTTTTGTTTCCTGAAACAGCAAGGATAACTCTAAGACCCTTCTTCCCTCCAAAAAGATAGACTTCAGTGGAAGGTAGAATAGGGGAAAAAACAAAACAAAACAAAAAAGGTTGGAACCAAGACTCAGCAGTTAGGAGCACCTGCTGCTCTTGCAGCAGGCCCAGATTTGGCTCCCTCACCTGCGTGGCACCTCACAACCATTTTTAGCCTTCGTTCCAAGGAATCCCATATGCTCTTCTGGTTCCAGAGGCACGAGGCATACGCATGATATACACACATACATGAGTACAAAACACATTCACATCAATAACAATAGATAAGTCTTTAAAGAGATTATAACAAGACTACAAGTGAATAGGTATAACTGGTTTTGTGTCCACCGCATATTATTCTGTGTTTACCTTTATTCCTTTTAGTGTATAGTGATACACAATACTATTTAGATAATTCCAAAATTCTGGACAGGAATTTTCTCTGATTAGTGGGATTATTGGTGGTTTCCTTAAAAAAAACAAAAAAAAACCCACTATTATTATAGTGTTTTCTTTGTTTTGTTAAAGAATGATTTAAATTCTTTTAAGAAAAATCAGATGAATCTTAAAAATAACTCCTTTCAGCTGTGGCAGTCAGTATAATGGCTTCTGTGGTATCTTAATGAAAGGGAGAAACTGAGTTGAGTCCTTTACAGAAAAGAAAGTTCTATATGAACTTTTGGATCTCACCAGGCCTAGTGAGGCCATTGGTTGAAGAGCTTCACATCAGTGTTTTGCTTGTAAGAGTCATTAGGGCAAAGCCAAGGCTGTCCTACTCTTAACTCTCTTTGAAGGCAGCAGCGTTTCTGTTGTTTGTGTTTGGTAACTTTGAACTGACACTTGTCTATTTTTTGACATATATTGACTACTTACCCCAGGAGGCAAGAGTCACTTAAAATAAGTTTTAAAATATCACAAGTCCTGAAGGATTGGGTTTCTTTTGTCTCTGTTTCCAAAGAGTTTATTGTAACTCCTTTTACCGGTGGAAGAGGCTTCTAACATGGCTACCGTGGTGTTTGTTCTTTTGCTATGTGTTTTCATGCTTTGGTGCGTTTATAGATATGTCCAGATTTTACAGAAAACATCTGTAAAACATGTTTTGCAGTTACTTGTCAAAATATGGCATAAACTTGAGAGTCTGTTTTAGGGCTTTTTTCCCCTGGGAAATCAAAGCCAGGGGCTTTCACATGTGAGGCAAGTGCTCTAGTACTGACATACATCCTTAGCTTGGTTTGAGATTTTAACAGGCAGAAAATGGTTAATAATTAAGACCCCAAGATACTGTCTGTTTAGTCACTAACTGGTTCTTAAGGACTCTGATTCAGTTTGTAAAGCTTGTGGACAGACTTCCACCACCCAAGATACTTCGTCCATATTTTAATTCTGGGCTACAGATAGTATTGTCACTATGAATTAGCTAGGACAAGAATGGGCTTTTCCAGTGGCCCCTCCAGTACAGTGAAGGAGCTAAAAGAGTTCATGTCTGAACAAGGGTGCACGGATATCAGATGTGTGCCTTTGTCTTCCCTAGCCTGAATGAATCCCTGAAGGCACAATGTTTGTTGTCTGAGGCGATGCAGCCTGCTCCCATGTGTGGGTGCTTGGTGCTAAGATTTTTAATCATTGGGCTCATTTTTCTTTCAGTCTACTGCCTGCAAATTCTTGCCTCACTGGCAAAGTTCCTCAAGGTTTAGTTCAGTAAGTATTTATTGCCAGTTCAAGTCAATAAATACTAAGAATTAAGCCATTTTTTTCTGCTAGTTACTGAGATGAAAAGCCAAGACTAGCAGACCCTGTCCTTAAATAGCTTACAGTCTTCTTGGAGAGACAGATAAACAAATGGTACAGTGGTACAGAAGGAGCAGCAAGGCGAAGGACAGGATGAGGTTGTCTGTAGCCACCTCAGCACAGACCTGTAATCACACTAGAAACTGAAGCAGGATAATTATATTCAAGGCCTTGCTGGACTGCAGAGTGAGTTCAAGACCAGCCAGGACAACTTAGTAATAAATGCTGAGAAGAGAACTGATCTCAGTAAGGAGCTTGCCTAGCATGTGCGTGTCTGTGGGTTCAGGCCTCAGTTCTGTAATATATACGCTGATACATAAAACTGTAGGAGAGTTAGAAAGAGTCCCCCCCAAATGAAGGGATAGACAAATGACTAAGTGTGTTTTATTTATGCTGGCTTGGTTATTTAACTTGGGTTGTATCTGGATGTGTCATGGCATGCATGTGGAGGTCAGAGGATAATGTGAAGGGCTTCATTCTCTCCTTCTATCATGTGGGTTCTGGAAATTGAACTTAGGTTGTCAGGCTTGACCACAAGCACTTTTTACCCACTGAGTCATCACATTTAGCCTAAATATGTAAATAAAGTTGCTTATTTCCAAAATATAGATATTTATTTGAACTGAAGGAAGATGATGAGGCCTGCAGGAGAGCTCAGCAGACAGGAGCGTTTTACCTCTTTCATGACCTGGATCCTTTGCTACAGGCATCAGGACACCGATACCTGGTCCCCCGGCTTAGCCGAGCAGGTAAGGTCAAAGTGTACCAGTGGAGTAGATGAGTCTTGGGCCACTAGATGGAATTCAGGTAGTTGCAAAAACTATCCTTACATTTCAGAGTTCAGATTTTTCAAATAGCTCTTGAGTCTCAAGCTTACATAATTGTTTCTGCTAATTAATAACTCATATGAACTTGAATTGCTAGTTAGGTATTCTTGGTGGTGATATGAACTATGAGTGCCATAGCTGGACCTGGTGGCACACACCTTTGATCCCAGCACTCAGGGAGCAGAGGCAGTGGATCTCTGTGAGTTCAAGGCCAGCATGGTGTACAAAGTGAGTCCAGGACAGCCAAGGCTATGCACAGAGAAACCTGGTCTCAAAAACCAAAACCAAAAACAAAAACAACAACAAAAAAACCCCCAAACAACCAAAAATCCCTTAGAGGTCCATGAAACTGCTGTTCAAATAGGAAAGGCCTGCTTCCCATTTTGTAAATAAAATTGTGTCATAATACAGCCACATTAATTCCTAGACATACTGTGCCCAACTGCTTTTATGCTACGATAGCAATATATATATAATAAAAATGTATATAATAAAACTATAAATAAACTATAAAATACTTGGTATCTCTTTACAGAGAAGGTTTGTCCAGCTTTGCCTTAAGCTAGTGATTTCTAGTCCCAGGAAACTGCAGAGTTGCATAGTTTAAGATTTGTATCTTAACTTGATTTTGACTAGGTCAAAAATGAATAAAATCAATTTTGAGACGCATTTCAGAATATGCAACTAGTGATCTAAGCCTCTGGATTTGGGAGTCTTATTTTTGAGATTCAAGCGTGAATCGAAAATATTTCTTAAAACTGACTGCTGGGGGATGCAACTCAGTGGTGTAGAACTTAACATGTGTTGATTCCTGTTGCTGTGATAAAACCCGTGACCAAGGCAACATACAGAAGAAAGAGTGAGTTTGAGCTTACTTTGTCAGAGGGATGAGAGCATCATGGTGGCAGGCAGACAGGCATGGCACTGGAGCTTACATCTTGAGAACAGGAGACAGAGAACACAGTGAAAAGAGCATGGGCTTTTGAAACCTCATAGCCCTGCTGTACCCCCCCCACACACACACAGCAAGCCTCCCACCCTGCAGTAACAACTCTTCCAACAGGGCCACGCCTCCTAATCCTGCTCAAACAGTTTTACCAACTGGGGACCAAGTATCAAACATAGGGCCTATGAGGACCATTCTTTTGTTTGTTTGTTTGTTTGTTTTTGTTGTTGTTTTAAAGACAGGGATTCTCTGTGTAGTGCATGGCTATCCTGGACTCGCTTTGTAGACCAGGCTAACCTCGAACTCACAGAAATCTGCCTGTCTCTGCCTCCCTGAGTGCTGGGATTACAGGCATGCACCATCACCACCTGGCCACAAAGGCCATTCTTATTTAGTCCACCACATTGAGGTTCCTAGATTCAATCTCAGTTGCAAGAAAAAAAAAAAATGATTCAACCATTGAGTTGAGGGTAAATACCGGAAAAAAACAAAACAAGACTATGCTATGCTAAACATGGTCAGATGTTCATTCTTGTCATTATTCCCTAAATCACAGTTTAAAACGGTTGTGTATATACTTGTATTGTAATTTGATGCTTTAAGCAACTAAGAGCTATTTAAAGTATTGCCAAATACTACCTTATTTTATGTAAAGGATTTGAAAGCATGCAACTTGTGATATGTGAGAGTTGGTCTGTAACAGACAACAGGGAGCAACTGTGTACTCTGAGTACTTCCTGTGGGTCTCACGTGGCTGCAGTGATGTGACTAAAATCTGAGTCTCACTTTTTCTCTCTCCCTTTTCTTTCATTGTTTAGAGTTGGAAGGGCTGCTGGGTAAGTTTGGACAAGATTCACAAAGAATAGAAGATTCAGTGCTGATTGGATGCTCCAGCCAGCGGGAAGCGTGGTTTGCTTTAGATCTAGGTCTGAGTGGTACCTCCTTCATTGGCGGTAGGTGCCTTTTCCTGGTAGGCGCTTCCCTGCTGCTCGCAGACTTTAGGGTTTTGTGTAACACCATTTCAAGAAAGATTTTACATATACAAAAATTTCATCAGCTTTTCTCTTTGAATAAAACACCATTATCCACTATCATCACTATGAAACTTTAGATGGCCCAGAACTTTTTATATACATAGCCCCAGTTGGCCCCAAACCCAGTCTTGCCTTCCATGTGCTGGGAACAGGCATGCACTGTCTTACCTGGCTGAAAATCAAGGGCGTTGTTATGATTTCTTTCCAAGTGGTGGGAACTTACTTGCTTATTTTATTATTCCCCATACATTTATACAAATTTACATCTTAACTATTTAATAGGCATTTAAAAATTCATGTCTTCAAAACTGGGTATAGCAGTATGTAATTCCAGTATTTGGAAGAGGCTGAGGCCAAAGAATTTTGAATTCTAGGCCAGTTTAGCCTTCATAATGAATCCCCCTCTTAAAAACAAAAACAAAATAGAGCAAAAGCTTGGCACGCTAGTTCATGCCTGTAATCCCAGCACTTGAAAAGGGAGAAGGAAGAATCATCCTTATCTACACAAAGCTTGACGCCACCTGGCTATGCAACACTCTGTCTCAAAAACAAACAACATCATGGTATCATTTTTCATAGGCATGTCCCCATGGAGTAACTCCAGGTTCTCACCCTGTGCTGTAGAGTCAGGCGATTCCAGGTTAATGGGTCCTGCCCTGCTTTGCTTCTGTCTTCAGTGTCTGGAGTATAAATGTAGCGGTGGTGGACGTGCAGCAGCATTTCCCAGTAGCAGGGTCTGCTGTTCTTGGCTCTTCATTTCAGTAATTACCAGAATAAATGACTTAGTTCACTAACCTAAGAGTCACTTGATACTTGTTTAAAATTTTTTTTAGTGTTTCAAAATTCAGGTTTGGGACCCAGAACAGCTATTCCATGAAGTGCACATGCATCTCTCTCTTCCTTTCCTCTCTCTGTCCCTCCCTCTCTCCATCTCTCCCTCTCCTGCCGTCCTCTCTCTCTTTCTCTCTCTGTCTCTCCAGTTAGAAGCTTGGGAATCTATGTAATTTTCCAAATGCCTGGACTAGTCTCTCTGGCAAGTTTGGGGAGCAGTGTTCTGACAGGATGGGCTGCCCAGAGGCAAAGCTGGACACCTGTTTAATTACATTCTCTTTTCTAATTTTCTAGCCTCCTTGCCAAAATCTGAAATGGAGGCAGAGCTCAGAGGTTCTTTCATCAAGCTGAGGCAGGCTGTTTTCCAGCTGGACTCCATGGATTCCTCCTTGCTGTTCACGGTAGTTTCGGTTTCTCAGTTCTATAGGAAGTATTCAAAGATGTGTGCATGGGCAAGTACTCATGTGCATATGATCTTGGGGTAACATGGTTTCTCACAGATCACAGACCTTCCTACACCTTGGCAGAGGGCAGCAGAGTTCTGGGAAAGGTAGCTTATACTGTAAAAGATAGTGCATTGTTCCTTGTTTTGCTTTTAGCAGAGCTACTGTGAAGGTTAACCTCCTAAGAACATGGCAACAGGGTCTACCAGTCTCCTAAATGTCTTTAAAAGATTGTATTTATAATTGCGTGTGCATGTATACTTGAGTGTAGGTGTATGCATGAGTATAGGCGTCTGCAGAGGCCAGAAGGGGGCACTAGCTTGCTATGAGTGATTGTGAATGGCTGATTATAGGTCATAGGTGCTAGGACCTTAGCTCTGGTCCTCTGCAATAGCTGTATGAATTCTTAGCTGCTGAGCCATCTCTTCAGGCAACCCCACAAATATTTTTTTAACTTCACAGCATAATACACATTGTGGTTTTTTTAAACATGAGAAATAATTTACTTTGCCTTAATAACTTGTTCTCACAGCTTTAGATTTCAGTTGTTACTGTTGTGCCTGATTCAAGAGACCCCAAAAGACCACTAGGAGTCGAATCCATTGCAAATCACACTAGGATCTTTATTCAAGCTTAAGCTCAGGCCGACATTCTTCCCTGATGTAGCAGGTTAGAAAGTAAGGCCCCTCTCAGGGAGGCAGAGTTTTTAAAAGGAAAAACGGCAATCGGGAAATTCCAAGCCTTGCAGTTACAGAGAAGGGTAAGCTTTGGGTGGGGGGTTCAGCAACCAAGATGACCTTTAGGCTAATTGTTCCAAGCCACCTGGCCAAACCGACAGATGTCCAAGATAACTGTATGATGGCCTGCTGGGTGGAGTGGAGGACCCACTAACATATTCTGTGGTATTTATGACAACCTGTGGGGTGGAGGCCTGATTATAGTTATCTATTTACACATTCTGTGGTATCCAAGACAACTTGCAGGGTGGAGGCGCACGTGGCCCTTCTCAGAACCTGAAGGTGGGGGTCAAGTCACTCCAAGGTCAGTCAACTTAAGATAAAGTCTGAGAAACAAAACGGAGCCACCCCTGCCATCCTCAGTTCCTTCAGTTACTTTGTTTTTGATGTTGTTTTTTTACATTTTTATTATTTATGTATTTTTATTTAAAAAAAGATTTATTTATTTTATTGTGTATACAATGATCTGCCTGAACACCAGAAGAGGGCACCAGATCTCATTATAGAGGGTTGTGAACCACCATGTGGTTGCTGGGAATTGAACTCAGGACCTCTGGAAGAGCAAGCAGTGCTCTTAACCTCTGAGCCCATTTTATCTATCTATCTATCTATCTATCTATCTATCTATCTATCTATCTATCTATCATTTAGTTATTTATTGAAGCAGAGTCTTATCTACTCCAGGCTGGCTTGAAGATGACCTTGAACTTGTGGTCCTTTTGCCTCTGCTTCTAAATTACCAGGATTATAAGCATGTCCTTGCACTACTGGTTAGCTAGGATTAAACTCCCAGTTGCCTACATGTCAGGCATATTAATTGCTTTTTCTACTTCTGTGATAACACAAAAGCAGCTCACAACTTGAGGGTGTTGTCCATCATGGGTGGGGAAGGGAGTCATGGTGGCTGGAGGTCAGTGGTCACATTATATCCACAGTCAGGAGGTGGACCCCAGCCCATGAAATGGTGTAGACACATCAGCGTGGCTCTTCTTACCTCAGTTCACCTAGCCCAGATACACTCAGAGGTCTATTTCCATGGGGATTCTAAATCCTACCAAATTGACAAGACTGCTCATCATACCAGCCCTTAATGTTTATTTTAATTTTGTTTTAAAGGATTTCATGTAGCCCAGGATTTCAGCTTACTATATAGCTGAGGATAGCCTTGAACCCCTGATGCTGTGGTCTCCACTGCCCCAACTGAGATTGCAGGCATCTATGCACAGGCTCCAACACACCTGGCTGCTGTGGTGTTTAGTTGCCTGTTCTAATTAAAAAGAAACCCGAGACTTCTTTAGTTGGAAAAAAAAAAAGAAAAGAAAAGAAAATCACAGCTTGAGCTGGGGAAAGGCTCAATGAGTGAGAGCACAGTATGCATAAACCTGACGGAGTTCCGTCCCGGGATGCTGTGATGCGGTGCCTCTGAGATCCAGGACTCCTACGGCAAGATCTCAGGCAGAAGCAAGAGAATGGCTAAAAGTTCAGGGCCACTAGCCTGAAGCACTCTGCACAGCAAAGTCAATGAGACCCTCATCTAGTGGAGGCAAGAACTGGTTCCCAAAATTGTCCTTTGACCTACACACACACACACACACACACACACACACACACAGTTAAAAAAAAATCACAACCTCATTGAGGATGAATAAGTAGGAAAGAAATGCTTAATTATAATGGAAATTAAAATGTTTTCTTTTTAAGTTGGATCACATTTCATAGGTGTGTATTATATTGCTGTATATTTTGTGTTTTAAACAATACATAATGCATTTCAAAATACCTTGTAGGCTAAGGATATAGCTTAATTGAAAATTACTTTCTAGTGTGTGTGAAGCTGTAGATTCCCAGTACTGCAAATAAATAAATAAATAAATAAATAAATAAATAAATAAATAAATAAATAAATAAATAAATATTACATAAAATATGCTTTCTTTTAGATTTTTGATACTAAAAAATATATTTAGATCATTTCCTTCTTCTAATAAGCCTGAAGGAGGTGAGCTACCAGTGAGATGGCCCATCGGGTAAAGATGCTTGCCATACAAGCCTGCTGACCTGAGGTGATTCCTGTAAAAGTGGAAGGGGAGGAGCGGCTCCACAAAGCTCTCCTCTGACCCATCATGCACCATGGCACATGTACCGCTTCCCCACCGCTAGTAACACAACTAAGGAACTTTTTTGAAATAGGTGAGCTAGAAAAAGACTTCCTCACGATTGTTCCAGATACCTTTCTCTAGAGCCAGACCCACCTTTGTGTTTGCAGGCTCAGGCTCTTCTCCGCTGGCATGATGGTCACCAGTTCTGCAGCAAAAGTGGGCGGCCCACCAAGAAGAACATGGCAGGCAGCAAGCGAGTGTGCCCTTCTAATAAGATCATCTACTACCCACAGGTGGGACCAATTGGGGTAGAACACCCTTGTAATTCCAGTACTTGGGAAGTGAGGGCAGCCTGGGCTACATGACATACTCTCCGAAAACCAAAACAAAGGGCTGGAGAGATGGCTCAGCAGTTAAGAGCACTGGCTAGTCTTCCCGAGGACACGAGTTCAAGTCCTAGCATCCACATGGCAGCTCACAACCCTGCATAACTCCAGTTGCAGGGGATCCAGTGCCCTCTTCTGGCCTCCTCAGCCATCAGGCCTGTGCATATACACATGCAGGCAAAACACTCCTCCATTTAAAATAAAAATAAACAGCCAGACATTGTGGTCAGCACTTAGGAGGCAGAAGTGAGCAGATCTCCATGAGTTTGAGGCCAGTCTGCTTTCTATAGTGAGTTCCAGGACAGCCAGGCTTATCTAGAGAGACCCTGCCTCAAAAACAATTTTTTTTCTCTTTGTTTTTTGAAAGAGGGTCTCTCTATTTAGCCCTGGCTCTCCTGGAATTTGCTATGTAAAACGAAAAGAAAATTAAAAACAGTCCAAGAAGGCTGTGGCCACTCTGTCGTGTGGGGGGGAGAGCCTGTGTGCTCAAAAGGCTTCGGTAACTGCCCATTCCTCTTGCCTTCTAGGCCTGAAGCGCCAGCATCTCAATCTCCATTCTGCTTTCCTAGATGGCCCCTGTGGTGATCACACTGGTGTCAGATGGGGCCCGGTGCCTGCTCGCCCGCCAAAGCTCCTTTCCCAAGGGATTGTATTCTGCCCTGGCAGGATTCTGTGATATAGGTAAGGAGTTTAGGGGAGGAGGTACAGGTGGCAGTGGAAGAGAAAACACATTCGTTCTGTTGATTTCATGCTTCTAGTCACAAACAGTAAACTGTCCTGGAATTGTAAGTAACTTTCCTACAGAGCAGGAGTCAACATTTGGAACGTGCAGCATAACTGGAAGAATTATACAGTGAGCGTCCCTACACCCATCACCTCAGCTGTAATCTTTACTGTTCTTCTCTCCCACAGGCATCTATCCATTTGTCTGCCCTGCTGTCAGCCATCTTTATTTTCTCTTGAACAAATTACATTCATGTACTTCTCCCTGAGTCTTTCAGCACACACAATGGTAACTAGAATCCCACACTTAGCTTCCTTTATGCTGTCTTCTCTTCTAGCTTACGGGGTAAAGTCTGGAGGTGACAAGTAGCCCTGTCACACAGAGGAGGCAGCAGTAACCTCTCCCATTGCTACACTCACCTGCATTACAACCAGCCCACTAGACTTGAGCACATGCTATACTCAGGGAACTGAGCTTGGGTAGCACCCAGAAGTGTGGGCCATCATGATGCAGATAGATAATATACAATTCTCTTGCTCCAGGGCTGTCTGGAATTAATCTGAGTGCTTGCAGGTGAAAATGTGGAAGAGGCTGTCCAGCGAGAAGTTGCAGAAGAAGTGGGCCTGGAAGTGGAAAACATACAGTACTTCGAGTCCCAGCACTGGCCCTTTCCCAATAGCTCACTCATGATTGCTTGTCATGCAACCGTGAAACCAGGGCATACAGAGGTAAAGTCTTAACCTTCCTCTGTGCTGTGATGTCCCCTTTGCCAACCTGCAAGGACTTTCTGAGCACTTGTCTTGAGGAGTAATGTCGGGGATACATGGTAATACATAAGATAATCATTATCCTGAAGGAATTTGCATTTGAGAATGGAAACAAATAATCATCATTCTCCCTTGCATATATCTCAGTTATGAAACAACTTCCCTTTGAGCTGCTTTGTTGAAGTATAATTATCACAGAGTCTGTGATAATGTTGATGGATGAGGATGTAGTTCAGTTGGTAGAGTGCTAGCTTGTAACACACACAAAGCCAGGTTCAGTCTTCACACCGTATTAAGCCAGCCTGCTAGTACCCACTTACAATCCCAACACTTGGGAGGTGGAGGCAGGAGGGTTAGAAGTTTGAGACCAACCTAGACTACATGAGACCCTGTTTTGTTTTATTTAAAGATAGGTCTTCAGATGTCTGTAGACATCTAGTTCACCTAACTTGCTGGGTTTGGAGATAAGCGTGTAGTACTGTTTGATCAGTAATTACTATTAGGAACCACCAGTCAGACATCACTGGCAGTGGCATAAGCTTAACCATCTTCTACCCCATCCCCATTTTTCCTCTGTGATAAGAGCATTTAACATAAGTTGAATTTTAATGTAACTGACACAATATTGCTAACTGTAGATGCTGTACTGTACAGGCCTCCAGAATTTATCTTGTATAAGTGAAATTTATACCCTCTACTCACTGCTTCCCTGTTTTTCTCTCCTTGGGAACAAGCATTCAACACTTCACTTCTACATATCTGACTAATTTAGTCCCCAATGCAGCAGAGGCCATGTAGAATCTGCATCAAGTAGATTATTGAATTTAGCACATCTTCCAGGCCCATCACCTTATAAATGCAGGATTTCCTTCATTTTAAAAATTCAGTAAGGCCAGCCAGCGTAACAAATACCTGTTACCTCAGTACTTGGGCAACAGAGGAAGGAAGTCCAGGAGTTCCAGGTCAGCTTTAGTTGACATATCAAGTTAGAGGCAACTTAGAACTACATTAGAGCCTCTGGGGGGTGGCATGAGAGGTGAGAATCAAAAAAACCTCCCAATACTAGTTCATGGTATGTATTTGTCACTCTTTGTTGATAGACATTTAAACTTTTATATCATGGATGATATAAATTGTGTCACAGCAACAAAAGGAATATAGAGGCACCTTTGAGTTCCAGATTTCAGTTCTCTTGGATATTATGCTTGGAGGTGGGGTTCCTGGAACAAATGATAGTTCTACTTTAAAATTTTTATTTGGAGATAGGGTTTCACTGTCTATCCCTCCCTGGACTTCATTGTGTAGACCAGGCTGGCCTCAAACTCCCAGAGATCCTCCTGCCTCTCCCTCCCCAGTGCTGGGATTAAAGGCAAGTGCCACCATTTATTTATTTATTTATTTATCTATCTATCGATCCATCTATCTATTTAATAACTTCCATAGTTTTCCTTAGTGGTTGCTGTCAGGATTGTGCAGCAAAGTTACACAGTGGGTTCACAAATCATGCCACATGACTGGTTCCATGTTGGAGGTTTATTAAGGGAAGGGGGAAGGGGTCACAGAGACTGTCTTTGGGCAGGGCAGGAAAGAGAGATTGGAGGTGGTGCGAGTTCTCTTATAAGGTGACCCAGAACATGTGCAGGTGGTTTCGGGTGGTCTGTAGGTGGCTTCACAGATGCCTGATATCCAGTTTGTCAGGTCCCTTGGGGCTGGCCATAGAGATGCCTGCTTATGGATCCCAACATTCCTCCCTTTTTGTTTTATTAAAAAGTGAGGAGCTAGGAAGCAGTGATAGTGGGGAGGGCATAGGGGTGACCTTTGCTCTTTGAGCTACTTCCTGCTGATTAGGGATGTTTTCATTTCATTAGGGTATAGCTGGTCCCCACCATCAGGGTCGATTGGAAGGTCATTGTCATCTGGTTCTGTGGGCAAAGGTTGATAATCCTGTAAGAGTGACTGATTAATGGATTGGTTAGAGAAGTTTTGCATTTGTTGAAGGAATGTAGAGAGGAAGTTAAGCAGGGTGCAAAAAGCAAAAGCAGAAAGATGAGCAGAAGAGGTGTGAGGAAGGGCAGAATCCATTTATATATGGGGTTCTCAAAGGCCCAAGAGTTAAAGGCCTCCAGCTGATCCCTTCACTTTTGTAGATTTGTCCGGAGTTGTTAGATTTTGTCTTTTAGTATACCTCTTCTGCTTGTCTTTTCTATTGCTGTGAAGAGACACCAAGGCAACTTCAAAGCATATAATGGGGTCTTGCTTAACAGTTTGAGAGGGTGAGTCCATGACCAGCCATCACGGGAGGAAGCATGGCAGCAGGCAGGCAGACAGGCATGGTGCTGGGGCAGGAGCTGAGGGATTCTATCTGATCCACAAGCAGGAGGTAGTGCAAAGAGAGCTAACTGGGAATGGCTGGGCTTTTGAGACCTCAAAGCCCTGCCCCTCAATGACACACCTCTCTAATAGGCACACACCTCCAAATCTTTCCCAAACAGTTCCACCAGCTGGGGACCAAACATTTAAACAGAAGCCCCGTGGAGGCCATTATCATCCAAACCACCATACCCTCTTAGGAAGTATGCAGTGATCTCTCATTATAGGCTTGCTCTGCATTTCCGTTATTAGTGACACTTGGTATTTTTTCACATATTTTTTGGCTATATGGATTTCTTCTCCACCACCACCTCCTCCTCTTTCATTTTTTCACATGTGGTTTCTCTGTGTGCTGTGCACCTTTAATCCCAATACTGGGGAGGCAGAGGCAGTTTGTGAATCTCAGAGTTCAAGGCCAGCCTGGTTTATAGTGAGTTCCAGGATGGGCAGGGCTACACAAAGAAACTCTTGTCTCAAAACAAAAACAAAAGTTATAAATATTTCTTCCTTTAAGAATCATCTGTTCAGGTATTTTGTTTTTTTTTTTTTCCTTACCTCAATACTAATTATTGAATACAGGACTTCAAACACCCCATAGGATGCTTTTTGCATTTCCCTTGCTGTATATAAACTTTTTATTCTGACCTCATCCTTTCTACTTAGCTTTTCCTGCCTTTGCTTTTAATGCCACATCTAAGAAAGGGTCAGTGCCCAGTCCAGCACCACAAAGCTGAGTAGTAGTTTCTCCTAAGAGGTTTATGTCAGCTCCTACATACGCATTTAATTTTTAAGCTGTTTTGTGTTGGATTTTGGTATAAAGGGTCCAGTTTCATTCTTTTGCATGTATATCCAGTGTGCCAGCACCATTTATGTTGCGGTTTATTTTTCACCTTCAGTTTTTAACAGTACCTTATATAGAGATGGAATGTATATGCCCCACTTAACGATTTGGGGATTGTTGTTACTACCCAAGGGATTCAGGGTGTTGGGGACTGGTAATATAACACTACAGGAGCCTCTCGTTAAGAGGGACTTTGATGTCATAGCTAAACTCACCTTGCTTCTCTGTAGCAAGTCTGGCAGATGGAAGTCACTGATAGCCCTTCTACTAGTTTGCCTGTTCTGTCCTGATTTTTATGGGCTCTAATCTGCTTCCACTTCCTGGGACAGTCTGTGTTTACTTTGCTTCTTGCTCTTAGTTATCATTAACCTTTATCCTTTAAAGAGAAGAACATTTGTATAAATGCTGATTCTTAAAAAAAAAGTAAAAGTCTATGTATTTGTGTGTGGACATAAGTGGACATTAGAGACGAGCTGTGGGGGGGTCTGTTCTCTCATCATGTGAGTTCTAGGGACCAAGCCCAGGTTGGCAGCAAGTGCCTTTACCTGCTGAGCCATCTCACTGACCCTGTAGCTCTTTTTTAATTGAAAGAGCTATTCACTTGATGCACACGCAATTATTCATAACTTACCACTCAATATTTTAGTATCTATAAGATTTTATGTGTATGTGCACTGGGGCCAGAAACCAGTTGTTTGTTTTTGCTTGTTTTTTCAAAACAGGGTTTCTCTGTGTAACTGCCCTGGCTGTTCTGGAACTCGCTTTGTAGACCAGGCTGATGTTAAACTCACAGAGATCCACCTGCCTCTGCCTCCTGAGTACTGGGATTAAAGGCATGTACCACTGTGCCCAGCTGAATAGGATTTTTTTAATGTATCCTTTTTTTTCTTTTAGAACTATTTAAAAATATATTTAATTCGCCATTGTATTTCAGAACAATATCCAGAACTGATTTTACCCTTTCCCATTGATCCCAGATGTTACCAACTAAGATTGCATAGTTCTCTATGAATTTTCTTACTTTTGGCCATAGTGTTCACCCCCACCCTCCACCCCTTCCTTGTCTTTCAGATCCGGGTAAACGTGAGAGAACTAGAGGCAGCTGCCTGGTTTGGTCTTGATGAGGTGGCTGCAGCTCTGAGGAGAAAGGGCTCTTTTACTCAGCAGCAGAGTGAGGCTTCCCCGCTGTTGCTGCCTCCCAAGTTAGCTATTGCCCACCACATGATTAAGAAGTGGGTGGAGAAGCAGAACTGCTCTTCCATGGCTGCTTAGCTCAAATCAAGCTGTCTAGATCCCTCCTGGACATCTGGTATGCTGAAGGGTATACCAGAGATCTACTGCAAAGTGAAGGTGACATCGCCAGCTCCAGGACAGCCTCCCAAGGCAGAGGTGCTCTGAGAACTTTCCACTGCCAAAAGAGGTTCCTACTGACAGCCAAAACTATCAGTGTAAACTGGATTGACCTCGCTGCCATGGAGGCTGAGGCAAGAGTATCACTTTTGCCCAGGACAACCTGGGTAACACATAGATACTTGGTCTCTTAAAAACAAAACAAAAACCAAGGATTTCAGTTGGTTGATAAGACACTACAATGAAAAGCTGAGGGGAGGGTACTGATTTGTTAGGGTGTGAGCCATTTTCTCCAAGGCTATAGGAGCAAACATCTAGTAGTGGCTCGTTGATGTTGCATTTACAGGAACTGCCAAACGTGCCCAGGGTGCTTATCTTAAGTATCAAAATTATTAACAGTTCTCAGCTCATATCTGAGTTGCTTCTGTCCTCATAGAAGAATAACATAGTATATGTTTTTTTAATTTGTGTATAGGTATAGTCTTTGTTAAGTTTTATTACTTGTGTGTTTGCCTGCACTTATGTCTCTGCACGCCTACTTCCTGTGGAGGCCAGAAGATGCTCTGAAACTGGAGAATGTGGAGAGCTGCCATGTGGGTGCTGGGAACAGAACCTGAGTCCTCTTGATGAGCAGCCACAGAGCCACCTTTTCCAGCCTCTTTGGATATATTCCTATATGTAGTGGTTAAATAAAAGTTTACTTTTTGGTAGTTGTTGCTGCCAGTTGAACCCAGGACTTCACACTTGGTAGGCACATGCTCTACCGTGGAGGCATATCCTCGGCCCAAAAGTTATGGTTTTGTTTTTAAGCTCCAAAAAGATGAGGAAAGTGGGAGCAAAGGTCTTCCTCAGAGTATTCAGCAGGCAACCAGAGGTGGTGGGTTTTGTTTGTTTGTTTTTTAAAGTAGCTAAATCCCAGAAGGGCACAAGATGATTGAAGACTATGTTGCCTTCCCAGCCTTCACATGCTCAGTTTGTAACCCAGAGAAAAGACTAAACATAAAACAGTACTGGGATGTGCACACCCAGAGAGCGTTGCTTCAATTAGAGATTAGTGAGGATAAGCAAGCTCCAAGCCTGAAGCTCCTGAGTCAGGATTCCTTCCCATAGATATGACCCTGACCCCCAACCCATGGTGCTAGAGACTGGACTCAGGACCTTGTGCATCTAGGCAAGCCTGTCACTGACCTGTAACCCAGCTCCTCTGTGTCACCTGCATCTTGCCGCTGTAAGGGAGATGCTTTGGAGGAAATAAATTTTCATGCCTTTATTCAGACTTTTTTTTTCTGTTCTATGAGAATGGGGTGGGGATGGGAAAAAATCTGTGTGACAGTAAAATGTTTTATTAAAATTTTTTATATATTAATTATGGTTTATCTACTTTGTATCCCAGCTGTAGCCCCCTCCTTCATTCCCTCCCAATCCCACCCCCCCCCTCATCTCCTCTCCTCTCTGCCCCTCTCTAAGTCCACTGATAGGGAGGTCCTCCTCCCCTTCCATCTGACTCTAGCTTATCAGGTCTCTTCAGGACTGGCTGTAATGTCCTCCTCTGTGGCCTAGCAAGGCTGCTCCTCCCTCAGGGGTCAAAGAGCCAGCCACTGAGTTTATGTCAGAGACAGTCAGTAAAATGGTTTAAGTCTAGATTCCCAGACACCATTGGGAAAATGTACAGAACTAGCCGGGGCAAGTCCTAGCTTTGGATAACTGCATTAATTGATGGCTAAAAGATAAAAGACCCAACAGACCTCAGCTTATACATTAAATAGAGCCCCACAGCAAGTCCTAGGCAAGATTCCAGAAGTGAAAAAGTTGGAGCTCTGAATTTCCTTTTGACCTCAAAAGATCACTTCTGGGAAAACCCAAGCACCTTCATCTGGAATTATCTTTTTTGGGTTTTCAAGACAGGGTTTCTTTGTGTAGCCTTGGCTGTCCTGGACTTGCTTTGTAGACAAGGCTGGCTTGGAACTCACAGAGATCCACCTGCTTCTGCCTCCCTGAGTGCTGGGATCACAGGTGTGCACCACTGCCCCCAGCTTCATCTGGAATTCTTGAAGGATGTTACGTGCCTGGCCCTGATTTGGCAGCTTGCCTTGACCCAAAATGTATCACAGGTAGAGAAAAGCACTTGGGAAAGGGGACTTGAGATTTCTTCATATCCTGCAGTTCAGGGTCTGTGTGCATTACTGTCTGGTGTGCTGTGAAGGGGCCATGTGTCCCAGTCTGAAAACACTGATAGAAAAGGACTGACAGAAAAAAGGGTTAACTGTTTTCATTTGATAAACCTTTTTTGTTGTTGTTGTTGTTGTTTGAAAAGATGGGGAAGCTATTAGGAGAAACTGCAACACTGAACCTCATTTTCCCAGTACAAGTTGGGGAGAGGGGCCTTGCTACAGACTCCAAGGTTATCTGCAAGTTAGGGCTGGGATACTGAAAATGGCAGGTAAGTTGGTACAGGGCGTGCCACGTACATGCACACGGGCACAGGCACACCCCCCCCACCATCAACACATTATAGAAGTGGTCAGGATAGAGTGGCACACTACTGGAGCCATGATGCAAACTAGCAAAACCTTTTAACAAATGTGCTTGTCACCAGAGGGACTGGCTTAAGTTAGCGTTGGAAATGAGACTAGAAAAATAGCCCACTAGCACACTCATGCCTTAATTTTATCTGTTTCCCTTTCCTCAATGTTTAGTCCTCAGTGAAGATATAATTAATATATATATAAGGTATAAATGCCTTGTGGAAAAGCCTTTTTCTCATACCAAGCTGGGACAGAATTCTAATGTGTAGGCTAAATTTCAAAAAAAAAGCTGTAAGGTTGTATTTACTCTTGTTTGTTCTATTTTTGTATTTATTCTTAACATTTAAATTATTTAAAAGGCTAAAATGTTTTGTAATAAAAAAGAAACATTTTTTTCTGATGCTTTTGTATATATGTATGTGTGCATAAAGGCTGACTAGTGTTCACATGTGAAGGCCATGTCAACCTCAGATGTCATTCCCACGAGCCATACATGTTTGTTTTGTTTTGTTTTTGTTGTTGTTTTATTTTTTTTGAGAAAAGGTCTCACTGGCCTGGAGCGTGCTGTTTGGGATAGCTGGCCAGTAAGCTAGGGACATACCTGCCTACCTGCCCAGTGTCAGCATGACAAGCATTCGCCACTATTCCTGCTGGGTTCTAGGGAACTAATAGTGTGGCAAGCATTTTATTGACAAGGCTCTCCATCCAGCCTGATGCTTTTTTAATAATTAATTACTTTGGTTATATTTTATGTGTGTTTTGTTTACAAGTGTGTATGTACACTACATGCATTCAGTGCCCACAGAGGCCGGAAGAGGACATTGGAACTTTCCGGAACTAGAGTTACAAAGGTGGCTGTGAGCCGCTTTGTAGGTGCTGGGAATGGACCCTCAGTCCTCTGCAAGGACAGCAAGTACTCTAAATCACTGGGCCATTTCTCCAGCCCCTAGCACTTCATTTTCATAGGACAATATACCATAACTGTATACACCAAGAGTAAAGGAAAGCTGGGTATGATGGCTCACATCTGTAATTCTAGCCCTTAGGAGTTAGTAACAGGAGGATCAAGGAATTGTCAATAAAACGAACGTTAACAGAAAGCAAAAATCTCAATTTTTAAATGAAAAAAAAATTTCCTTCAGTACCCTATTAACAGTCTTCAGGTACACAGAACATTTGAGGCCACCCCTAACATAAAAAGACTGAATAAACGAAAACAAAACAAAAAATCCAAAAGAGTCGATTAGAAAAGAACGCACTTGGACTTGATGTTTGCTCAGTGTGAAGGGCAGCTAGTGCGCAGGCTAAGCCCTCACTGGTTTACGTGCGGGCTGTGATCAGCGTTGCCAGGCACCTGCACACCCATGCTGTGCAGCAGGTTGGAAGCAGGCCCTGCCAGCCCAGCTTGGGAGCTGTAGGATTCCAGTATATTTGAAACCAGGTTCAGGTCTACATCCACTGCTTCAACAACTCTATCTCCTGCACCAGAATCTTCCTCATCTGAATTGTTATTTTCAGTCTGGGATGGAGGTTCCTTATTCTAGAGGGAGGGAAGGAGAGAGGCAGAGATAACAATATGAGATAGTAACCCTTTAGACAGTAAGATGCAGTAACAGTAGTAATATATAGTGACACAAAATGAAATGAGCTCTAATGTGACTTCGTACATACACTAACCCTGGCTCCGTCACGGGTGGCGGCATGTGCCTGTAACTAGCCAGAGGGTCAGTTATATTCGCCACACAGGAAAGCTTAAGAACAATCTGGACAAGAGATCCTGTCTTAAGAGAGAAAAAACTTGGCTCTAAGGATTGCGACACATTTCCATCTCAAAAGAATTCCTACAAATTGAACAAATCTGTCCCTATTTTTAAATAACTCAAAAGACAGCTAGCATTAAAGATGTACATTCATAGATTGTGTTAATATTAAAACATTAATAAATGACAAATATCTAAATTTTCTTCCAAATGAAAAAAGTTGGATTTCCTTTTAGTTCACAGACTACAATGTGGTATTTAGCTCCCCAGCACCCAGCTTGTTACTTGAGCCTCCGATTTCAAGGGCTTGGGGAAAAGATCTAAAAAGCTGCATCTTGACTTAAAGTCCCTGGAGTAACAGTCTGCCTTTCCCAGGACTTCTCAAAACAGAAAATTTCAGCTCTTTGTCCATTTTGCTTAATAAAGGCCTACATTATAACAAAATCCTTAGGTGATATCTGTTCCCAATTAAGTCTAATAAATAATCTCTATTAGGTTGAAAGCAATTATATTTAAGTGTGGTCTAAATGGTTAAAGCAAAGAAAATTCATATTAAAATGAGCTCTCATTGGCTTTACTGTTATTTCATGCTAATCCTATGACATGAGGATTACTGGGTAATACACAGTAAATGGCTAAGCTATATTTCAAACTCTGAACCATGACACAGTTGAGACCTGACTTAAACTTTTTGTGTAACGATAGCCCGCCCCTCTGTTGAGATATACTTTAGTTTTTAGCATAACTGTAGCTCCTGAACTACTAGAACTGCTTTCGTCTTTAGCATAACTGGAACCATTTTTATCTTCAGTCTCCATTTTGATCATAAGCTGAAACTGAGTTCAAGTTCTTGGCTCTGCCTGCCTGACACAATAGCCTTTACTTAGAATTCAATAATTCAGTGCTTGCTGCTTAGAATAAAATGAGGTGATAAGTGCATGTTCTGCTTGAGTTAAAGATCAATTCTATTAGAGTTAAACCACAACACCCTGCTATGTTCCTTTCTCCCAAAAAGCTGGAAAGTCTCCAAAAGTTCCCTTACAGACAACCAGCTTGCATTGCTTTGTCTACCTAGGCACAATGTACTTGAAATAAGAACTGATTCTTCTTGCTCCACTAAACACAATATTGGTTTTGGTCCTTTTCCTTTAAAAACTCACTCTGGGGCTGGAGAGATGGCTTAGAGGTTAAGAGCACTAACTGCTCTTCCAGAGGTCCTGAGTTCAATTCCTAGCAACCACATGGTGGCTCACAACCATCTATAATGTGATCTGATGCCCTCTTCTGGCGTGTAGTATACATGCAGATAGAGCACTAATACACATAAAAATAAATAAATCTTTAAAAAACAAAACAACAACAAAACTCACCCTGAGAATGGCACAGCATCACAGTCTTGGCTCCTGAATTCAGACTGTGTCCCTGACCAGTCAGGGTGTTCAGAACTCAATCAACCTCCATCTACTGGAGTCTGGCGTCCGAGTGGCGGCAGCATGTGGCTACTCTTGCACTACAACTAGAACAACACTCTAGTGTCTGTACCCTGCCCATAATGCCTCTTGCTGGCTAAACAGTGCTGGTGAAAAACACTAAGATCAATACGTAAATAGGGGAGGGATTCTAAATTTGGCACTAAACTGGGGAAACAAGAAGCAAGATTTGAAGTTATCTGGATATTTAAGCTTCTCTTAGTGCTCGCTCTCTCCTTTTTGTTTTTTGTTTTTTTTTTTTTTGAGACAAGGGTTCTCTGTGTAGCCCTGGCTGTCCTGGAACCTACTCTGTAGACCAGGCTGGACTTGAACTCACAAAGATCCACCTGCCTGCCTCCCAAATGCTAGGATTAAAGGCATGTACCACCTCGCTGGCCTCTTTAAATTTTTGGTATGAACATGGATACTCAGAGGTCAATTTGGGGGAGTTGAATCTCTCATTCTGTCAATCAGATTCCAGGGATTGAACCCAGACTGTCAGGCCTGAGAACAAACACCCTTACACACTGAGTCATAACTCTTGGCCCTCTTCTCTTTTAAAAACACAACAACAACAAAAACACTATTTACTGCTAAGCATGGTGGCTCATGCCTACAATCTCAGCACAATTTTGAAGCCAACTTGGGCTACAGAGTGAGGCTCTATCTCAAAAATCTCTGCATTCCCCATCCCTTCTACACACATACACAGATTCATTTATAATGGCAGTAGTGGTAATAATCACATGCTAATTTGGGCACATAATGATTCATTAATAACATCCATATAATAAATGTAATGGGGCTGAAGTGATGGCTCAGCAGCTAAGAGCATCTCTGTGCTGTCATCAAGAGCAGAGTTACAGCCACAGCACCCGTTAACAAGCTAGGTGTCCTGCACACACCTTTTGCTCTGCTCTAAGGGATTTAATGCCCTCTTCTCACCTCAGCACATGTACAGTGATATGAACTTGCGTGCACCTGTGCATAGATACTCGCAGATACAGATACACACACAGACAGACACACACACACTTACACACAAAATAAATCTTAAGAAATGAGATGGAGATGGTTCAGTGGTTGGGAACATCCAGCTGATCTAGAGGACCCAGGTTCAATTCCCAGCACCCACATGGTAGCTCACAACTGTATGTAATTCCAGTCCCATCTATAACCTCAGTCCCAGATGATCTTATGCCCATTCTGACCTCCAAAGGCACCAAGCATGCACATGGTACACAGACATACAGGTATGCAAAACACCCATAGATATATTTTTAAAGAAATTAAATATTCTGGACTTTTGGGCAAGATTTATTTATTTTATGTGTGTAAATGTTTTGCTTGCAGGCATCTATGTGCACCAAGTACATGCCCGGTGCCCTCCAGAGGTCAGAAGTGTGCATCAGATGCTCTGCTTTTGCTTTTCAGTGTTGAAGACTCAACCAAAGGCTTTGTGCACATCAGATACTTGCTCTACCACTGAATTACACTCTCAGCACCTGCCCCTCTTTCACAGTCTCAGTATGTTGCCCATGGGCCTCAGACTCTTGGGTTTAAGCCATCCTTCCTTCTCAGCCTCTTCAGTAGCTGTGAATTACAGGCACGTGTCATCGTGTCTGGCCTCTATAATCTCTCATTATACCAATGTTAAGAGAAAACTAGCATTCTTGGGGTTGGGAGCGTAGCTTAGTAATGGACTATGCACTTAGGATGTACTCCAGGTCCTGAGGTCAATTCTTATCATCGAATCAGTCAGTCAATAAAATTAGCACTCATTTATCTCAAATCTCACAAATCAAAAGAAAAGAAAGAAAACCTCAGATGAAGTGTAACTGTCACTCTCCTATGCATACCTGGAGAAGGAAAGGTTACAGACACTTACTGCTTGCTCGCGAGTATTGAAGCTTCTGCCCATACTTGTGTGCGCCAGTTCCTGGTCCATCTGGGCCATGTAGGACTTGAGGCTGCCAAGAGCTCCTTCCAGAGAGTCAGTCTCCTGAGCTTCAAAACCCAAGTTATCATCACTATCTAAACACTCAAAGTCATCTTCGTCCTCATCATCAGAGTCTGACTCTTGAGGCTTTGTCCCTATATTGACCAAGACACAGAAAGAACCATGAGGTAAAATTTTTTTGGGCAGGATTACACCTCTCAAAAGGATTGGAATGTTCCACAGGACTGAATAAATTAATCCAACTACTTTGTAAAAATCCTTTCCCAAACTGGGTGGTGGTGGTGCACGCCTTTAATCCCAGCACCTGGGAGACAGAGGCAGGTGAATCTCTGTGAGTCCAGCCTGGTCTACAAAGCAAGTCTAGGACAGCCAAGGCTACACAGGGAAACCATATCTCCAACTGCAAATCCCCTAATCTCCACCCCCCCCCCAAAAAAAAAGATGCAAAGCTGAGCTGTTGAGATGGCTCCCAAGGACAGATGCTGTACAACCTGGTGATGCTAAGGTGTAAGGAGAAAGCTACTCCACCAAGTCGTCCTCTGACCTTTACACCCATGCTGTTACTTACACACCACCCACACATAGATAATACACACACTATTACTAATTTTCTGTTTATTAATTTAAAAACTGAGCTGGGAGTATAGTTCAGTGGTAGAGAACTTGACTAGAGTGTACGAGGCCTTGGGTTTGATCACCAGAAACATAAAAATATAGATAAAAACCTGGGAGCTAGTGAGATGGCTCAGAGGTGAAGAGTACTCATTGTCTTGCAGAGAACCTGAGTTTGGTTCCTGGCACCCACGTCATAGTTCACAACTGTCTGGAAATCTAGTTCTAGGGTATCCAACACCCTCTTCTGGCCATCTCAGACACAAGGCAGACACACATGCAAAATAATCATACATAAAATAAATCTTTAAAAAATACAAATTCACTTTAAAAATTTTAAATTAGAAAATTACATAAATATACACTGATGTCAACATTCAACTACACAGAGGCACTACTGCCCAGCTGGTGAGCTCCGGGCTCAGCGAGAGACTCTGTGTCAAAATATAAGGTGAAGAGTGATAGATATCTACCAACTTCCGGCTCCTCATGCACTACACACATGCAGACACAATGGCACACACAGCGCACAGACCATCGTTCACTGCGAGAAAGAAAACCGTGGGGCTTGCTGTGGAACTTTCAAGGGACCAGGGTTTGACTCTGAGCATCCCTGTCACGCTGCTCACAACATCATTATAACTCCCGCTCTAGGGAATCTGAGCCCAACACCAGCCTGCTCTACAGAGTGAGTTTCAAGATAGCCTGGGCTACAGGGAGAAACCCTGTCTCAAAAACAAACAAACAAACAAACAAACAAAACAAAACACAACAAAGAGAAAAAAAGGAAAAAATAGCTGATTATTATTTTGTTCAGTAAAGTGAGGAAAAACATGTTTTATTTTGCATTTGCTTGGTTATTAGAAAGAGTTAAGTATTTTCAAACATTTACTGGTTACTCTCCGGTACATAGCCTGTGTTTCTGTTTTGCATGTATATGCATGTGTGTGCACACGTGTGTGCCAGTGTGTCTGCATGTGTGTGCACCTGCATGTGGGGCCCGGAAGTTCATATCAGGTGTTTTCTATCACTCTTTATCTTATATTTTGACATAGGGTTTCCCCACTGAACCTGGAACTCACCAGCAGACCCAGGGATCAGCCCATTTCTGCCTGCCCTTCACACTGGAGCGAGAGGCAGGGCATCTGTGCTTGGCTGTGCGTGTGACTGCCCATGAGCTCAACTCAGCTGTCCCACTGCAAGCACTTCATAACTGAGCCATCTGCTTGTCTGCCCAGTTGTCTTGTTTTTTATTTTCATATTCATTTTGTTTTGTTTTTTGTTTTTGAAACAGAGTTTCTCTGTGTAGCCTTGGCTGTTCTGGACTCACTTTGTAGATCAGGCTAGCCTCGAACTCACAGAGATCTGCCTGCCTCTGCCTCCCAGAGTGCTGGGATTACAGGCATGTACCACCACACCTTATTGATTTCTTTCTTTCTTTCTTTTTTTTTTTTTTTAAGATTTATTTATTATTTATATAACATTCTGACTGCACACCTGATCTTACTATAGATGGTTATGAGCCACCATGTGGTTGACTGGGAATTGAACTCAGGACCTTCGGAAGAACAGCGAGTGTTCTTAACCTCTGAGCCACCTCTCCAGCCCCCCTTATTGATTTCTAAAACATTACGTCTCAAAGAAAAAAACAAAAACATAACACGGAAGTCACATTAAAACCTTTTCAAAAGCATAAAAAGGTTCCCGCCCTCAAATAGGCAGTGAGGAGCCAGCCAGTCAAGCACTAACTAGGCTGCTTCTGCGAAGTGATTCGATAGCGTAGTAATTTATGGTTTATTTAACACAACTGAAAACATCAGGAGAAAGTAGTATTTTGGCTCATAAATGATCTAATGTCCCAGTGCTCTAGCAACAGTGATACCCCTTAACAGTTTCAAAAAATATTAAACACCACACTATCACTCACCTAAAATCTTATCAAAATAATTCAGAAAAGAATCTGCATCAAAAGTGATTGGAGCTTCTGAAGGGTCTCTGAAAGAACAATGGGATAAGGGCATGTAATTAATCCTAACCACAGCCTTTGAGGTATTTTCTAAGATGGTGCTATGCTTGGAGAAACTACCAGAAATATTCAAGAAAAGTATAGCAATTATAGTTTAAATAAATAAGAAAAATTCTTTGTGTATATATTAGCCTTGAGTGGCAACAGAAATACTTTACTTTTTTTTTTTTTTTACTTTTCTGTCGCCAAAAACGTAAAAATATACCTTGTATACATACATTTAAGCATATGCATTTGGCGACCTATCTGTTCTTTACTACCTACAAGATACAGAGTAAGAGAAATAATTTATCTGAGTTTCATTTACATAACGCTCATTCTTATAGGATCCCAGCATTGGAAAGTATGGTCAAGAAGATCAAGATTTCATATGATTTTTAAGGCAAGAAAACAACAACAACAAAAATCAAAGCTTATCAAAATTGATAAAATTGCATCTTCCCCTATTCATTCCTTCTTAACAACAAATAATGAGTATAAACTTGAATCTTTTATAGTTCAGGAATATCGACACCGACAAAGGTTCACTGGGCAGGGCAAAGGGCCCATCAGGATGTGCTTGGTCATATGCACAGTCTCTGTCTCAATGGTGTGCACAGCAACTTCACAGTTCTGATTATTTCTGCCTCTGGTGAGTTCCTTTAATATCTCTCTTTGAGTTTCAAGATTCCATTCTGCTTGTGGGGTAGGAGATCAGAAGCCTGAGCTTGCTGAGCTTGAGTCTACAGGTTCTGAATTAGAGTCTAAAGAAGTTGGGCACGGAAGCTTACACCTTTAATACTGGAATTTCAAGGCTAGCCTACTCTACATAGTGAGTTCCAGGACAGCCAGAGATATGTCAAAAAAACTAACTAAATAACACTAAAGAGTAAAGCGTAAGTGCTATGGTTCCGGGTGGTAGCTTTTAAATCCTTAGGGTTTTCTGACTTCCTTCAGGAATTACAAAGGCTACTTGAACTCTGACTTCAGATAAGAAAGATATCACTCTATTCTGCACCAATCAGGAACAAAGCAGTACAAGCGACTTGGTAAAAAGTAACAATAATCACACACATACAAGGAGAAAAGAAGGAAGAAGAGAGAGAAAATCTACATTAAAACAATACCAAGTGTGGTGTCGTGTGGTGGTTTGGTCAGAAGGCTGAGACAGAGAGGTAACTTAAGTGCAGGAGGTTATGACCAGGGCAACCCAGTAAGACTCTATCTCAAATGAAACAGGACAGAAGAAAGCCAAAGTGGAAATGATACTTTCCACCGACAACGATGACTAGTACAACTGGGCAGCTCTGCTGTAATGCACTCACCTGGGCAGCTCTGCCCCCTTGTAAGTTGACACTTTGGAGATGAAGGCCTTCACGCTGTCTGAGACCTGCCCTACATCATAGCTCTGCTCCTCCTCCTGCTGGGGACGGGGCTGAGAGTCTTTTCTGCCCGCCACGTCTTGCAGCAGTTGGTCCAGCTGGTCGGATGAGAGGTCTAACCACTGGTCATCTGAGAGAGAAAGCAGGTATGCCACATCAGAGGAAAGGCCTTCCTGGAGAGGCAGTCTAGTTCTGACTCTCCTGTTCAGCCCCTGCCCCTCGCTCACCATCCTCAGGAGGAAGATCAGTGGATTCTTTCTTGAGCTCTTCCACATCAAATGGCAGTGTCTGTAACATGGTTAGGATTTCTTCACCTGGGCTCATAGCAAGTGAACTATAAAATATGAAAGACACAAGCATCTCTTTATGATGACATGACTTATCGTCTATACTGATGGAGCTATCGCAACTATTTAGATGAAGCAAATTTAATAGCAGAGTACCTTGAAAAATCACATGAGTAGTAAATTATTGCTACCCCATGTTATGCAAACTTTACTGGACAGGAAAAAAATCATAATAAATGCAAAACACAGGTGGGTATGGTAGTGTGTAACCCCAACACTGGAAAGGCAGAGGCAGGACTTCAAAACCAGTCTCAGCTAAACAGTGGGTTTGAGGCTAACCTGGATTAGCCTCAAATATTGAAAACCAATCAACAAAACAAAACCCTAAAAAAAATTTTTTAATGACAAAATATAGCCATTTGAGAAAAGCAAACACTAAAGAGACATGAAGAAGGCAATTAATTACTTTCATTGGGATGTGAACAAAAAAAAAATTTTTTTTAAGAAGAGATGGGGCCTGAAACAGGGCTCAGTGCATAGAAGGTACCTGCAGTCAAACCTCATGACGCTATTTGATCCTCAGCACCCACAGGGTAGACGGAGAAAACTGACTCCTAAAAGTTGTTTTCTAACTTCCACAAGTGTGCTGTGGCTGGCACACATGCACCCAGAACATTTAAAATTCACTCTATATTTTTCAAATACATCATCAAGTATATGAAATAATATACATTTTACTTATATTTAAACATTCTGCAGTGGATATATACTTTAAAACACCACAGTGTACATAAAAAACATGCACAATTTTATCTGTAACTTTAAAAATAACTGTAATTCATTTATCTGTTTTGGATGGATACTTCAGGTACCTGCAAATTTTCATTATTATAATTGCCAATAAATTTTAAGAGATGTGAGAATAGCATGATCAGAAATAATCTTTTCCTGGCTCTAGTGGTTGAACTGAAAGAAAATAATCACTATAGGTTGGGAACCAAGTTTAGTTATGGACACAGTTGAAGAAAGGGTACCTAAGGTCTGGCAGGACAGCAAGGAAGACTGCAGGACATAGATAATACTAAACAGAAGCTACAGACTGGACCCAAGGATAATGAGGATGATAGTGGTGCTAGTAAAAGATTATGAGACTAGCCTGGAGGGTAGCACTGCCTTGGGAGGTAGAGGTAGGCAGTCAGGAGTTTAAGCTTAACCTCAGCTACCTAATAAATTCAAATACAAGACCCTGTCTCAATACAAAGACAAAAAGTCACAAACCCCATTATTTGAAAGGACTGGAGAGATTGATTGCTCAGTGGCTAAGAACACTTAACTCCTGCAGAGCATCCAGGTTTGGCTCCCAGCACTCAAATTCTAGCTCACAAGCATTGGCAACTCCAGTTCCAGGATCTAATGCTCTCTTCTGACCTCTGAGGGTGTCAGGAACAAACACGGCACATAAACACACACGTAGGCAAAACACTCATTGACATAAAATAAAATAAATCTAAATAAATGAAAATAGAAGAAGATGTCTAAGCACTGGAATTCAAGAACAGTTCTGGAGGGAGAATTTGGTTTATAGTAGTTTAAAAGGCTCATATTCTTAATTCCAGAACTTGGGAGGAGGCAAAAGGAACAAGAAGATGAGGCCAGACTGGGCTACACAGTGAGACTCTGACTCAAATATCAAAGGATCAAACTAACAAATCAAGATGAAACTGCTGAGAAATGGTTAGTGTGAGAAATGGGAGTCTCACTTAAAACTTCTAAATTCTAGTTGTTTTATTTCTTGAGTCAAGGTTTCTTTCTCTTCCTGGGCCAGGCTGGCCTAGAAACTATGTAGCACAGCTAGCCCTAAACCCAAGTGAGCCTCCTGCTTCAGCCTCCCGAGTGTTACTGTTAGGGTTACTAGTGAACCATCTCACCTAACTTAAAAATTAGATGCTTAAGCAGCTTGTAGAATTTCCTCGGTAGAAAAAACAGTTGTGTGCCTTATGGTACATTTATTTCCTCAAATACTGTGTAATAAAGAGCTGTAGGGGACTGGAGAGACAGCTCAAAGGTCAAGAGCACTGGTTGCTTTCCCAGAGGAACTGGGTTCAATTACCAGCACCCACATGGCAGCTCTCAACTGTCTGCACCCTAGCTCCAAGGACTCCAACAGCCTCTTCTGGCTTCCTTAAGGAGCCAGCATGCATGTGATGCACAAACGTATGTACAGGCAAAACTCATATACATAAAAGCAGTAACTAAAAAACAAAACAAAACAAAACAAAAGAACTGTACTCACCCAGGCATGGTAGTGCACGCCTGTAATCCCAGCACAAAGGAGGCAGAGGCAGGTGAATCTCTGAGTTCCAGGCCAGCCTGGTCTACAGAATGAGTCCAGGACAACCAAATCTACACAGAGAAAAGAAACCCTGTCTCAAAAAAACAAACAAACAAAACAAAAAACTATTCTCTTAAAAAAATCAGTAAGTAAAATTAGGTACAAATATCTATAATATAGATTCAAATGGTAAAAATCTCTAGAAGGCAATAAATCAAAATAATAGTGGTCAATTTTGGTATAAACAGTTCCCTTCTTACATCATTCTCTGTTTGTACTAGAGAATCTATATTATTTTCCTAACAACAACAAAAATCTTATTTATGACAGGGAAGGTGCCCATAGAAGCCTTATGGCCTGAATCTGATCCCCAGAGTCCACTGAGGACAACGTTGAAAATTGTCCTCTAACCTCCACTCCCCAGCCTGCCACACACACACCACCATGGCATGCTCACATGCTCATGCCTGCATCCATACACACATTATACATACATACAACAATGATAAACAGTTTTTTAAAAAATACATTATTTAAAAAAAACTACCCAACCACCAGCCTGTCTTACTGTGGTGGGTCCTAGCTATACCTTTCTGGCCGGTGTATAGAGAGCTGGAAGTAGTTCTTTGCCATTTCTAGTCTTTCCTGGTACTGAGTAGAACCTTCCATCAGTCCCTTGAAAACATAATAATGGCCATTAGAACAGTACTTATACACTATGTCATTAAACACACACCCACTAGTGACTTTGAAAAAAGTAGTGACATATAGGAACTCAGAGGCCCCAGACCTGACCTGTGTTCTGTCATTAATTTATTTATGTGTGGACTCCAGTTTCTTCAAAGCAAGTAAGGAACGAGGTTGGATGCATTCTTAGTTTTGTTTGTTTGTTGTTTGTTTATTGAGACGAGGACTCAGTATATAGCCCTAAGTGCCTGGAATCTGTTCTGTAGAACAGGTCAGCTTCAGAGTCACAGAGCTCGGAATGCTTCTGGTGGGATTAAGGACTCTGCCAGTGCTCTTAACTAACCTCTGAGCCATCTCTCTAGCCCCTGGTTTGTAATATTTAAGATTTCTATTTTTGTTAGTTTTCCTGTCTAGTATCTTTATGCTTTTGCAATTTTTATAAGTTGTTCATTAGATACAAGTAATAAATAGTATCACTTGACAAAAATAAAGTTAGAATTCTCTAATATTGGCCTGGCAGGACAGTTCAGTAGGTAAAGCACTCATTGCCAAGCATGATGATCTGAGTTCCAGTCTGGGAACCCACAAGCTGTCCTCTGACCACCACATGCTATAGCATGTACATGCCCCCTCAACTAAATAAATAAATGCAACTTAAAAGATTTTTAAAATAAAGCCAGGTGTGGTGGCCTTTAAGCACTTGGGAGGGAAAAGCAGGATGGCCTTTTTGAATTTGAGGCCCAACAAGCTCCAGAACAGCCAGGGCCACATGAGGGACCCTGTCTCAAAAAATGAAAGAACAACAAAAGTTTTTAAATAATCCTCTAATATCATAAATATCCAATAACTACTATCTCACTGCCTGCTTCCTATGCCTGAGTATCACTGAGATGTTCTTCTGTTTGAGCTTCTATAATCACATTTTTCTTTTAAATACGTCATGACTTGATTTTCTCTGGGTTGTAGACTTTCAAACTAAACACTACAGAAGCTGGGGAGATGGCACTGGACAAAGGTCTTGCTGTGTAAGCATAAGGACCTGGGTTTGAATTCCCAGTACCTACATTAAAACAACAACAAAAACTAAAAACAAAAACACATGTGATCTTATATACCTATAATCCCAGAGCTGGAGAAGAGATGGAGAACCCTGGAAGCTCCCTGGCCAGCCAATATAACCAGCTGGGAAGCTCCAGGTTTAATGAGAGGACACACACACAAGCACGAGCGCACGTAAGTGTACACGAACTCATTCACAAGAAGAAACAAGAAGCACAAGTCCCACCTTAAAGTAATCATTCCTTTTCAGACTTTCAAGGAAGCTAGCCCAGAGCGGTGAAGCAGTGTCAACGGATTTCTTGGAGTCAGAAAAATGTGGGCTACATTTGGAGCACAAAATCTCAAATCCATGAGCCTAGATGAGATAGACAGAGGGCATGCGAGCACTTAGAACATTTTTTTTTTTTTTTTTTTTTTTCAGACAGGGTCTCCCTCTTTAGCCCTGGATGGCCTGGAACTCGGTGATCCACCTGCCTCTGCCTCCCAAGTGCTGGGATCAAGGCATACACCACCGTACCAGCTAGTGGTGGTGCTTACTTTTATAAAAAGATTTTATTTCTGAGCTGACAAGATGGCTTAGTGGATAAAGGTTTCAATCCCTGGAACCCACATGGTGGAAGAGAACCAGCTCCCAAAAGTTGCCCTCTGACCCCCGCTGTGCATTATGGCAGGCTCCCCAACCCTGCCATGCACACAAAATAAGTAAAAATCTAAACAAAATGTGAAGATAAGGTTGAGCATAGTCTCAGACACAGGAAAGAAGAGACCTTCATTTTAAAATCCTTTGCTTAAATATGGCACAATGATTCAAACAAATTATTACCAACTAACAGCATCTCCCTTCAGAAGTAATCTGTACACTCAAGTAGATTTCTATGGTATCTTTCTACTCTGTCCCTTTTGTCACCCAAGGAGAATACATAATATTATACATGTAACTGCATGTTGTGGAGAGAATTTCCCATCAGGACACACCACGGACAGGCTGTAATTCACCTGTTCTCCCACTGCAGACTTGGTGTTTCCTAAGCTCTCAGTACGATAACAATGCTTCTGAATGTACATCTGTGTGGTTTTGTACCTGAAAATATATTTCTAGAAGTGAAAATAATAAGCAAAAAAATGGCCAGTGCAATTTCAGTGTATCAGGATAGTGGCAAACTGTTCCTCACAGTGACTGCATCAACTCCTGCATCTTTCTTTCTTTTGAGACAAGGTCTCACTCTGTAGCCTCTGTCTGGCTGTCCCAGAACTCAGAGATCCGCCTGCCTCTACTTCCTAAGTACTGGGATTAAAGGTTTGCACTACCACTACCACTATTATAGTATTTTTTTCCCTTTATATATTATAAATTCTTACCAACTCACTATATATTCTCATACTTTTTATACTTGCCAAACTAGTGGTTAAAAAAACATTATTTTGTATCTTTAAATTATTTAATTTTAAAAAACAGAAGTCAACATTTTTTTCATTTTTAAATTAAAATTCATTTGTACTTCCTTTTCTATGAACTATCTGCTCAGCTTCTGAATATTTAAAATTAACTAGTCAGTATTATTTTCTCTAAGAACACTTAATATTCCTTTTCCAGGTTTTTTGGTATCTTTTGAGTTTATGACATTTTTCTTTTCCATGCACAATTTCTCTTCTCCCATTTACTGTTGTGTTGTTATTTGAGACAGTTTTGCTATCTGTCACCCAAGCTGCATTCTGACTCCTGGACTCTAATTGGAACCACAGATGTTCATACACTTTTATGAAATCAAATTAATCAATCTTTTAGTGTTTATAGTTTGCAAGTTATGCTTTAAAAGGCCTTTCTTAGATGATAATTTCCCTATATTTTTTTAATTTTCCTTATATTTCATTATTTACTCCAAGTGGAATTTATTTTGTTCTAAGTGGGACAAGATGGACTTTCACTCTCAGAGAGCTTCACAGCTGTTGGATCACTATTTCCGAATTCCTTGAGGCTCTGATGAAGTGAGGAATTTTACTGCACTGTCACATAAGCATGACGTATTTCTAGAGTTCCTATGCTGCATCATTCATCATCTCAGGTGAAAATAACAAGTACAGCTGGGCACCGTGACGCACGCCTGTAATCCTAGGACTCAGAAGGCACAGGCAGGCGGATCTCTGTGAGTTTGAGGCCAGCCTGGTCTACAAAGTGAGTCCAGAACAGTCAAAGATATGTAGAGAAACCCTGTCTCAAAAAAAAAAAAAAAAAAAAAAAGGAAAATAATAGTTGGTGCAATTGAAATGTTGATGAATAGCAGAAACTTGCCTATAGGGATTTGAATCAATTTATATTGTTATCGTTAATGTTCAAGAGTGTCTTTCTTTATATAGTCTTTTTTAAAAACATTTCTCCAGCCTTTAAAGTTCTTTCATATTAGAGAAAGGAAGGAAGAAAGGAAGGAAGGGAGGGAGGGAGGGGGAGGAAGGGAGGAAAAGGAGGGGTGGAAAAGAAGAAAGGAAGGGAAAGAAGAAAGAAAAGGAGGGCGAGGAAGGGGGAGGGAGGGAGGAGGGAGAGAAAAGAAAGTAAGTTAGGTAGTTTTCTTGTTCAACATTACCAGCTTCATGCCCAGTTCATAGGCTCGGAACTGGGGATGTGATGGAGGTGGGAGACTATATCCACTCCGCCGATCTGGCACAAACTTCTGTTGTACTAACTGTGCGTACAGACATTTAGTGAAAGTGACCTGGACATTGGGAAACAAAATATGTGAGTCTTTTCCTGAAATCGAATTCTGAATGCCACTTCATAACTGAATCTAACAATCAGTCCACTCCCAGGCTTTGTGCTCAAATACCTATAGGGGAAATACATAGATACAGCCTGTTCACTCCCTGCTTGTTTTCAGAAACAGCTAGTGAGATACACATTCACACACTATGAAATTTACCCTACTGCCCACTTTTGACTTGTCACTAGTGGAATTATTAATTACATTATGATAATTTAGGAGGGGTGGAAGATAATTCTTAAGAGATAAAATGTTTTATGGTTGAGAAGGAAATTACAGCAGTAAGAAAAATATGGTCAAAAGTAGGTAGGACACACTAAGCTATAAAATGAGGCATCTCCTAACAACACCCACACTTGGGTTAAAAAAAAAAAAAAAAAGAAATGTGCACTAAACTTTCTAAAAGAACTTAAAATTATAAGAAAAACTAAATGACCAAGAAAGGTATCTCACAGATGCCATTATTCGTGTTTCAGGCAAAAATGTCTTGAAAATGCGACAGGCTCTCAGGTCAATGGGGTCCCGTAGGTAGAAGGCTTGGACTGCTGCAGACACTAGTCTGGGCCGTTGCTTGAGCACGGCGACAATGCCAGCTGGAAGAAAGCAGTGTGCTCGATGACGAGAGGCTTCAACTTTGTCTGGGTACCTGTGAGGGGCAGCACAATGCTTTTATTTTATATGTGAATATTAAGATGTTTTTCAGGGTCTCACTGGGTACTCTTGGCTGGCCTGGAACTTGCTTTATACACTAGGCTGGCCTGGAACTCACAGAGATCCTCCTGCCTCGGCCTCCAGAGTGCTAGGATTAAAAGTGTGAGCTAGCAGGTCCAGCTTAAAAAGAATTTTAGCATCATTAAGACAATACATTGAACTAAAGTGCTATTAGGACTTTCCTTCTCTTTAAGATGAAGCCTAAAGGTTTCCACATAGGTCAAAGGAGTATATACAATCTCCAGAAAAAAAAAAAAAAAGGCCAAACACATTACATTGTCTTCTGTAGGTTTTCATCTTTAAAAAAATCTCAATTTTTATTTATTATTTTATATGTATGAGTGTTTTGCCCGTATGTGTATCTGTGCACCACATGTATGCATGCTGCCCACTGAGGCCAGAAGAAGGTGATGTATCCCTGGAACTAGAGTTACAGACTGTTATGAGTAGCCATATGAGTGCTGGGAATCCAACTCAAGTCTCTGGGAAGAGTAGCCAGTGTGTTTACCAGGAAGCCATCTTTCCTGCCCCAATCTCAAATTTTCACAGATAATACTTGGCTATGAAACCTAAGGAAATAAAAGAAAAGAAAAGCTACATCTAAGTCAGGGACAGTGACACACTCCTGAAATTGGAGCTGCTCAGGAGGTTGAAGAAAGAGTTAGCTTGAGACCAGGAGTTAACAGCCAGCCTGGGCAACATAACAAAACCCTATCTCAATTAATCAACCAGCCAACCAGTCTGCTTTCTGATTTTAAATTCCATAAACTTAACTGTCAGTTTCATGAACAGCAATACCAATAAAATACAGATGAGCATTAATCCAGGTGGAAGGCACTCTACTTGCAAATAAAACCTGTGCTGCACACTGAACCAAAATGTTCCTCAGCTAAGAGTATCAGTGTTTCCCTTCTTACCCTCGGATGCGCCTGTCCACAGCAGCTTGTATAGACTCTGAAGCTAAAACAACATCTGGGTGGGCTGAGATTATACTCAGAGCTTGTTGGATTGTTGGGGATGTCATGGGTAACCAGGATATTCTTTCAGATTTCCTTGGCACAGGAATAATGCACAGCTCCCCGTGATGGAAGAATACCTACAAAATGGCACATCTTAGTCTCTTTACGGGCTCTGGGAAGCCTAGGTACACAGGAAATGAGGCAGCAGATTTCATCTGTGTATTCTTTAAGCTTGGATGTACTTACCCTATTGGCACTATTATCAGGATCCAACCACTTAGGGAGAAAGTCAGCTGCTTCTATTAACAAGAACTCACCATCATTGTCTTCAATCCTGATGAAAGAGAAGATCCATTTTCACATTCACAAATCACAAAACACCTTTAGTCCCATACGTTTTCCCTTCTTCTCAGAAAAATCTTAAATATATACTATGTAATTTAACATATAGGGTTGAAAAATGGCTCTGCAGTTAAGAGCATGGGCTTGCAGAGGATCCAGGCTTGGTTCCTAGCATTTACACCAGGCAGCTCACAAATTCCTATCAATCGAGCTCCAGCACATCTAATGATCTGGCTCTCACCAGCACCTACATTTGCATACACAGCCATTCCATACACATGCATAATTGAAAATAGAAAAAATTTTAAAATACAGTAAAAGCCTATAGGAAACTGTAAGATTATAAGGAGATTAAGAGAGATTAAAAAGAGAAAAATCAAAGTGTTGTATTAGACAGAAATACAGAAATATATAGGAATAGAGGTACTATATAAGGTTTCAAAATGGGGAGGAAGGAATTTCACTTAGAGGTGAAATTACAGTGTTACAGTGTTACAGTGTTAACTGTTGTACAAAATGCTATTTGGATCTACAAAGATATTTTTGTCTTAACTATTTTTAATTTTCGAGTAACATTGTCACATGATTTTTTTTTAATGTATGTATAAAGTTAGACTGGGGAGCTCCGGAGCTGGTCAGCTGGTAAAGGCACCTGCTGTGCAAGCATGGCAACCTGTGATTGATCCCCAGAACCCACAAAAAGAGAAAGAAAGATAATAGGCTCCATAAAATTAACCTGAGACCCACACTTGCCCTGTGGCATGCAAGGTCCTCCTTTCCCCTCAGATTTCATATGCATGCACACACAGCAATAGTAATAAGTAAAAATTTAAAACTATTTTTATTTTGTGTGTATTTTGCAAGTACATATTTGCATCATGTGTGTGCAGTGTCCACAGATATTGGATCCCTGAGAAGTAGAGTTATAGACAGCTGTGTCATTGAGGGGGGGGGTGCATAAAGAACAAGACTTAAAAGCAATCCTACCATGAGAACTCATGAGCAAGCATGTGCTATATTTCATAGGCAAAAATTTCAAAGGTTTTGTAGAGCAAAATAGGTAGAACTGTCCTTTAGAAAGACCAATCTGGTAGGGAGAGAGAGCAAGTGTATCTGTCTTTTTAAATTTAAAAAACAAAGCAAAACATCTGACATAGAAGTGACATATTTACCTGTGTGTTTTTATGTATACCCAGGCCTGGCCCAAGGAGGCCAGAAGAAAGCATCAGATCCCATGGAACTAGAGCTACAGACAGTTGTGAACTGCCACATGAATGGATACTGGGAACTGAACCCTGGTCCTCTGGAAGAACTTAACTGCTAAGCCATCTCCCCAGCCATGATGTCTAAAGCTTAAAGAGCTTTATAGACCGAGTATGTAATAAGAACCGTCCTTTTATGGATATTCAGAATCTGTAAAAATAAAAAGTATTGCCCCTCCTTATTATCCTTGTAAAGACATAACTAAAAGAATAGATCATAACCTTAACAGAGTATATTATTGTTAATGATTTTTAGGTGTGGAAAGAGCAAACATTTAACAAGTTTCTTATTGTTCTTATAGCAAAGCAACTATAGTTAATAACAATGCAATACATTTCTGAAAGTTAGTGAGAGATTTAAATGTTTAATTTTATGTGTAAGAATGGTTTGCCAGCATGTAGGTCTGTGCACAGCATGCATGCCTGGTGATGCGGTGGTCAGAAGACAGAACTGAGTCCCCTGGAACTGGAGTTAGGATGGCTGTTAGCTGCCATGTGAGTGCTGAAAACCAAACCCAGCTCCTATTCCTCAGAGCAAATCTCTCCAGCTCCTATTGACATAAATAAATAAATAAATAAATAAATAAATAAATAAATAAATAAATAAATAGGTGGGGAGGTGGCTCAGTTGGTAAAGTGCTTGCCATACAAGCGTGAAGCGCCGAGTTAGATTTCAGATCCCACATTAAAAAGTCTTGTGTCGTTTTGTGCGCTTGTGATCTCAGCACTTGGGAGGCTGAGGGAGAAAGGAGCTCCAAGCTCTGTGAAAGACCTTGTGTCAAAAGCAAGGTAGAGCTGGGGAGATGGATGAGAAGGTAAGGTGCCTGCATGTGTATAAGCATGAGGACTTGAGTTGGAGCCCAGCACCCACACAAAAGCCAGGTGTGGCAGCATATGCCTGTAACAGCAGTGCTGGGGGCGGAGACAGACACATCTTGTAGGCTTACTGGACAGCCAATCCAGCCTGTACAGTAAGCCTCTAGGTCCAGCAAGTGAATCTATCCCAGCAGCATACGGTGGAAAAGTGACTGAGAAGACATCCCAGTGACAACCTCTAACCACACACGCCTGCACAGAGTGTACACATGAACACAGCACCCCCCCCACACACACACGGAGGAGAGGGAAAGGAGAGACAGCTTCTAAGGAATGTCACCTGAGGCTCTCCTTTCACTCCCAATTATGCACACTAAGCTAAAAATGCAGATGGTAATGCAGAGGCTAATAAGCTCAGTCTAGCCAGCCCATGATGCATCAAAACACACACTACATGGTACATGTATATACTTTGTATTTGTCAACCAAACATAAATGTAAAGCTCAGAAAATAAAAAAGAAGCTGGCAACATTACAGAAACTGTAGTCTTCCCAGTAGGAGACTTAAGGGCAATATGGCTTAATCCCGGTGGTTCCAGCCAGCCTAAGCAATACAGCAAGATATCGTCTCAAATAATAAGTGGGTAAATGTAAAGAATTATCTACTAGATCTACAATATGACTTACTTAAGGGCAACATGACACAGAGCTTGACATTTACTTCAAAATAATCTTTCTGGCCAGGCAGTAGAGGTACATGACTTTAATCCCAGCACTTTCTGTGTAACTGGCAGGGCAGGTCACAGGTGAAAGAGTAGTGATGGTAACTTGATGATTGCAAAAGTTAGATGAAGGGTACACCTGTGTTCATTTTTCCTACCTTTATGTATGTTTTATATTTCAACAATAAAACATTTTCCAACTTTCTGCTTCTTTCTCTTTTGTTCCACTGGAGAAAGTATTTGTGGGCACAATACCCAATTTGATGGGCTGACTAGGAAAACCAGTGTCAAAAATCATGAGTGTGCAGTGCCCTCTACTGCCCATACTGATTTCTCTTAAATTTCTGTGTATGATTTCTCAAAAAGTATATCACTGGCCTATTAGGGAGAAAACATTATAGAAATCTGTGAGATACATTTTACTGAGAGCTATGTGTCAGCAGGTTTTCCACTCTCAGGCCAAGTGTGCAGATCACTGGGGCTGTACATGAGACTCAAGCTAAGACTATTGTACACAAAGATCCTTAATTTTGTTTTTCCTTATAATCCAACAACTCAGAACAGAGCAAATATACAGAAAAGATTAAAAATGAAAATCTGAGTGTGGTTAAAGTGAAGCCAGATGTGAAAAAATAGGAACACTTGGCTTTCAGGATATCTGAGGAAAGATGACACTTCAGACTGAAATGAGCTGAGTCTTGCAAGAAACGAATCACGGAGCCAGTAGTGAATGAACTTTCCTGTCAACTAGAGGAAATAGCCGATAGAAATCATCCTTAAGTATGTGTGATGGGAAACTAGCATAACTATGCTTTGTTAAAAATGGGTCCATTGTTGGCAATTCAAGCCAGTTCAAGCAGCAGGGAAAGCCTTCTGTGTTATGGACTCCCTTTGTAAGCTTTGTAAACCCTCAAGGCAGGAAAGTGGCCCAGCCTGGCCCCCAGACTTCCCTACTGGTCCTGTCATTTTCTAATGTCTGTAACATGGAAGGCCAGAGAAAAATCCCACAAATCTCTGAACAGGAAAGCCCACCAATTCCTGATCTTGCCACAAAACTCCACCAATCCCTGAGCTTCAGGGACTTAAAATCCCACCAATCCTTCCCCTGAAAACTCCACCTTGAAAAGCTCCCCTCCCCCAAATCCTATATAATGACTGTGTCTGCTCAGTTCTCTGCTGTCTCTCACCCGAGCAGAGGCAGCCACCCTCCTGGGTTTCTGCCTCCCAATAAATCTCTTGTGTGAGGCTTGCTGTGTGGTGTGACTCTGTGGTATTCCTTGGCTCCTGCCAGCCAGAGTATCTTTCCTTCAGAGTTACAACACTTAAATCCATATTGCTGACATTTTAGAATCATGAAAACAAATATTTAGGAAATTCAATATATATGCACATATATATTTATACATGCATGTATGTACACACATATCTTCCTTTTCTTTCTTTTATGTACACAAACGCAGACATCTTCCTTCTTTTCTCTTCCCTTCCTTTCCTTCTTTTCTATTTTAAAAACAGTCTTACTGTATAATCCTGGTGGGACTAGAACTTGGTATGTAGACCAGACTAGTCTTGAACACCTGAGTGATCCAAATGCCTTTTGCCCACAAGTACTGGGATTAAAGGTGTGCACTACCAGGTTGGAATTTTTTTTTTAATCCACATTAAAAGCTCATGATGAAGAGCTGGGCATGGTGGCGCACAGCTGTAATCCCAGAACTCTGAGAGACAGTGGCAAGTGGATTTCTGTGAGTTTGAGGCCAACCTGGTCTACAAAGTGAGTCCAGGACAGCCAAGATCACACAGAGAAACCCTAATGAGCTAGAACACAACTTTAGTCCCAGCACTAGGGATGCAGAGATAGGTGGATTCTGTGCCGGCCAGGTCTACAGAGCTAGTTCCAGGACATCCAGAGTCACACAGGGAAAAATAAACAAAAGAAGGTTCATGAAGAGAACTATGGACTTGAGATAAGTGAGGATGAGAACAGGAGGGATCAGGTAGTGGGGAAAAATGGAGGGAGAGAGTACTGGAAGAGACTGGAATTGGGGAGATGTAGAAACCTAGTGCATGGAAACTCCCTGGAATCTATGAGGTTGATCCTAGCAAAGACTCCTACTAATAGAAAATATGGAACCTAAACAGGCCATCTTTTGTAACCAGGCAAGGCTTCCAGTGGAAGGATTGGGACATCAATCCAGCCACAACACCTTCAACCTACAGTTTGTCCTGTCTGCAAGATGTGTTGGGTAAAAGTGTCTCAGAACTTGTGGGAGGGGCCAACCAATAACTGGTTCAACTTGAGACCCATGCCATGAGAAGGAGCCCGTGCCTGGCACCGCTTGGATGGCCTGGAGCCAGGAACAGGGTAGCCCAGAGACCTAGGATGAAACCAAACACAGCTAGACAAAAAAAAAAAAAAAAAAAGTAAATGAAATGATTCCTAATGATATTCTGCTATATTTGTAAACAAAAATAGCCCAATCGTCATTAAAGAGGCTTCAATCAGCAAATGACAGAAACAGTTGCAAAGACCCACAGCCAAGCATTAGGCAGACCTTGGGGAATCCTGCTGAAGAGGGAGAAAGAAGGAAGCCAGAGGGGTCAAGGACACCACAAGAAAATGGCCCATAAAAATCAACTAATCTGGGCTCATAGGGTCTCACAGAGACTAAAGTGTCAATCAAGGAGCCTGTAAGGGTCTGCACATGTTATGGTTGTATATATGTTATGGTTGTATGTATGTCATGGTTGTTATAGTTTGGTGTTCTTGTGGGATTCTTGACAGTGGGGGGAAGAGGAGCACTGCGTCTGCTTTTGCCTGCTCCTGGGTCCTTTTTCCTCCTACTGGGTTGCCTTGTCCAACCTTGATATAAGGGTTTGTGCCGAGTCTTATTTTAACTTGTTATGTCATGTGTGGTCGATATCACCGGGAGACCTGCTCTTTCCTGAAGGAAAATGGAGGAGGAATGATTTGGAAGGGAGGGGAGGTAGGAAGGAGAAGGACTGGGAGGAGAGGAGTGAGAAGAAGCTACAGTTGGGATGTACTATATGAGAAGAAGAAGAAATAAAATAAATTTGGCTATCCTACATAAATAAATAGATAGATAGGTAGATAAATAGTTTGCCAGGCGGTAGTGCACCTTTAATCCCAGCACTGTCCCACATTTGAACAATTTCTACCAGACCTCAGACAAAAATTACAAAATAGACACAAATATGATCACTTATGCTTTAAAATGAGAATTCCTTTAGAATAATTAAACAATACCTGGCCACTAACTCTGGAAATGCCTTTGTAATCTGCTTTATTACATAGACAATAAACCATTCATCCTCAATGTTATCTCCAAACTTTGTCATGCCATATATATGAGCAGGAACACCTCCTATAAACAAGAGAGAAGTAGTCATAAACCAGGCAAGTCCATCTCTGCAAGTAAAAATACATGTAAGTATTCAATAACTAGCCATTGACTAAGTTCCAAGAATTATTCTGGGAACTGGGTTGCAATTCTGAACAAGATATGGAATTTGTATTTCTGAGGAGTTTGGGTCTAAAACAAGAAAACAGATAACCAAACAGTCCTTAAAAGCTCTGACTAGAGTACAATTTTCATTTATAATACATCAGACTTCAACTAAAACCTCTCCCAGCAGCCACAGAAAAACAAAGGAAATTAAGCCAGGAAGTGACACAGTCCAATCTGTGTTCTACAAAGGTAACTGCCAACAGCGTAAGGAGCTCAAGAGACTACAACTGGAGAGGTAAGTTAGGAAGCTGTACTTTTCCCAATAAAAGAATAAAGAGTACCCACACTGAAATCAAAGAGGTGTGGGAAGGGATATTTTGGAAGTGCTCGGACTATGCCTTCCTGCCTGACTGAACATAGTAAAGTAATAAGTATAATTTGAAATACTGATAGCTTAGGTAATAGTCAGCAATGTCATTAGATAAGTGGGAAAATAAAGTGAGAAAATAAATAAGCATGGTTTTCTAAAAGATAATAGGTTGCTTTTGTTTTAAAACTGGCTCTCAGTCTGTAACCCAGGCTGGTGATTCTCCTGCCTTAGCCTGCAGAGTGCTAAGATCACAGGTGTAGACCATTATATCTAGCTAGAGGGGTTCATTTTAGATGCATCACACTAGTCTCCTTGTCAATAAACATCACATGTACTCTAGAAAATTAGGATTAGGGAAATAGCACAGTAGTAGACCAGCTGCCTAGGAATAGGTAAGGCCCCAGGTTCAATGCCCAGTGCTGGAAAAAGTTCAGTAAAATTAATAGCAAAGGAGAAACTTAGCAGTTGCTAGCCAAATATAACAGATTAGAAATAAAGTATGAGCAAGAATAGCAGGATCCAAAGATGCCAGGTGCCTGATCTTAAACAGACCCTACATCAGTCACCATACAAATATAGCCTGGGCCAGCTATCTAGCATTCATTTTCATAAAGTTAAAAGAAATGACAGAACAGATTGCTATAGTTTGCTAGAGTTGACTGAAAGCACAGGTCAAACAGTGAAGCAGTAAAAGACGTTCAAATTAGTTCTGGACGGCAAATGACAATGTCAAAACCCACTTAGTTGTCTTTATTAACCAGACAAAGTCCTTCTTTGTCTCAGCAAAACAACTACATGAAACAAAGCAACACTGTAAAGACATCATCAAGATAAGCACTGGGTAGTAAAAAGGAACTATGATGGAAGAAACAAGATAAGCCTGGACCTCTGCAGCACTGGCACTTACATTATAGAATAGTAATTAAAGTTCAGAACAACAGCCACAATCCCCCATTCCAATTCATATGGCATATATTTAAATTTAGGGGCTTAAATGCATATGGGCAAACACCACTGATTTTAAATGCTGTAGGCCTAAATCTCTCTCAGACAACACTGAATAAAAGGATTACCTTACCTTTTGCAGGTTTATATTTGAGATTGAAAGGTTGATTCTGCCAGATATAAGGGACCAGTATAGGTGCAAATTGGGTCATTATTCTTTCAATGTACTTCTGAAGAATCTCTCTGTATTCTTCTGTGTCTCTTGCATTATCCGGTATCAGGAACAGGTGGTACTCCACAGCATCTTCTACCACTGCAAGCTTCATATTCCCCTCCATTCTTCTTTGAAAATGGCATTCAAATTTTCAGTGATATAGCCACATAGAATGAGAAATAACAGCATTCCCAGAACTCTTCTAGGTGATTGCATTACCTAGGCAGGTTGATATGAACCTACCATCATCATGGTTCTGGCCTTTAACAGACACCACTTGACTTATTCTCTGAATGACGTTTATACTAAAAACTAAGTCCCTTAAACTTAAATTATGTTGAATGGAAACCTTGATATTATGGAGTGAATCCAACGCACTTCCCAAACCAAATAAGTATGTAAAAATTAAAATTAAAAATAGCTAGGTGCGATTGTCTCAGCTAGAGACTGAAACAAGAGGATCACCTAAATCCAGTTCAAGGCTAGCCTAGGCTACACAGCAAAACTCTGTCTCACAAACAAACTAAATACTTGCCCTTAAATTAGTAGCAGTGTGTACAGCAGTTTGAAAACCTTACATTACTATACATTATTTTTCTCTCAAAACTTCCAACTGTGTTTCTGTTGGTTGCATACTTTGGGCACTTTCTTGAACTTTCTCATTAATCGTGGAATGGAAGTGTTACTCTGCCATCTGTAAAACTCATCACTTTAAAATTGTGTTATTAAGTGCATTAAAAAAAAACACACCAATATCTCTTGCTCTACAGAACTTAAGTCTATAGGAGATTTTAAACTGTGTTACCGTTTCGTCTCAAAATAATTTGCCATGGTTCTGGATGCCCAAATAACGCGGCGATTTGATTCTTAAGCTTACTTGGCTTTGTAATGAACCAATAAGGCACCTGAATCTTCTGTGCAACTACACATTCAGCACAGGAAATTAGAATCGTGCTGCCTCTCAACCCGAAAAGTCAAGTAAAAATTCTTCCCACCCTCCCCCTAAGTCCAAGCAGGACTCTTCATGTAGAATTTACAGAGTTAGAATTGGACTCGAGATCATTCGCGTGAAAGACAAATGACATACCTGAGAACACAGAAGACCGGAGAAGCACCGGCGTGGCGCTGTCTAATCAAACTAGACTCCCTTCTTCCGCCTGACAGAGGTAAAGTTACGTTTCCTTTTACTACCTCTTTGGCGCGTCTCTGCTCTGGCACCTTCCCTTGGCCGCCTCTTCCACTAGGACACGTGATCAGAGGCTACCATCAGCTGCTCGATCCTAGCCCATGCAGGATGCTCAAAGTCCGCTTCGGCCCTGAAATGCCCCTGGCAACAGTGAGTCTCCGGAACCTTACATGCAGTCATTAATGTGTATCGGAGCCAATTTCTGAACCATGCCACAATCTCCGTCACTTCCGCTTACGAGAGGAAGGAGACAAGTCGGAAGACTACAGAGTGGGAACTCTGGGAGGTGGCGGTCCGGAATCTAAGCGACGGGGCGAGACGGGGCCGGTAGGTGGCAGGAAGGGGCCGGGCCGCAGCCGGCGGGAGGGCCAGGCCCCGAGGCCCCCGCCCTGGCTTGCCCGCCCCGGCCGCGGAGGAGAAAAAGGAGGATGATCTCCAGATACACTCGGAAGGCCGTGCCACAGAGCGTGGAGCTGTGAGTGGATTGCTCTGCTCGCCCAGCTTGGGCCGCAGAAGCTCTAGGGACCCTCCTTGACCAGTCCTCTCCTTTCCTTTCCCTGGGTTAGGGAGGGAAAATATCTCTCCTCCCAGGCCTGGAGGAAGCTGCCTCTTGTCCTTGGGTCATCAGCTTAGAGTGTGTCATCCATGCTATCCTAAAACTGTCTTTTAGGCTGTTACTACCTGAATTAAGGGAGTGGACCTTCAGAAGCATTTATCGTTCCCGCAGTGCTTTTGGCCCCACTGAAGATAATAGCTGAATGCTACAATAAAGTTGAAAGTGTCTAGTTCCAAACTCTATGCAAAGCTGTTTGCTTGAGTGCATTAGCAAAATCAGATTGAGACCGACCTTCCACATCCTACAGATAAAGATCACAGATCTACAGACTGTATCTGGAAGGTGGTGCAGCTGAGAAGGACAAATCAAGTGTCAATACAATTCTAAAGCCTATAGTCAAGCCATTACACATACGTCTTCACAACCTTTACAAATAAGGAAGGATCAGTTTTGTTTGTAGACTAAAAAGCAAGCACTTGTAATTTAAAGACCGCTTTGTACCCTTAGTAAAGTGTTGCAATCTGGCAGACAATGATAATGCCTTACTTTTACTGGCATGTTGCAATTTCAAAGAACCTTCAGTTTCTTGACCCTTTCAACAAGAAACTGAAAGAAACAAAGATGGCTATAACTAGCTTCTATTTCTCTGATGAAATTAGAAAGGTTCCACATCTTTAAACCATAGAGTCTGAACTTTTAAAAATCCAAGTCCCATTGGTGATTTCAGCAGCCATACACTTATTAAAATATTAACTATGGGGCTAGAGAGATGGCTCAGAGCTTAAGAGCACAGACTGCTCTTCCAGAGGTCCTGAGTTCAATCCTAGCAACCACATGGTGTCCTCTTCTGGTGTCCAGGCAGAACATTGTATACATACTAAATAATCTTTAAAAAATTAGCTATGCATGCCAATAACATTCATTTAAAGTCACACTTGGATGGGCACTTTTCTTGCCATGTAGCTTTTAGGCAAATTACTAAATCTGGGCCTTCCTGTCTATGTGTCCAAATAAGATCTACAAGCATACCTAAAATGATGTCACAGGTTTGATATATAGTAGGTTCTCAGTAAGTGGTAGCACTACTTGTCTCTTACCACCTTTACTTGGTAAAAAAGCCATACAAAGAAAATACCTTCTCCTTGCTTTTCAGAAAGAAGCATGTTATCTTCATAAGGAGATAACATATTATTCCTTATGCTATTTCATAAGGAATATGTTATTTATACAACAACAAAACAGACAATGAACTCTTTAGGGAATAAGACTAGGGAACAGTCATTTCCCAAAAGTGAGAAGGGTTTGACTTAAAATCTTCTTTCAATTTTTTTTTAAATTACATTTTTTTTTTTTTGGGTGGGGGGCATGCACAATAGTACACATCCAGACATTAAAAGACAGCTTTGTGAGTCTTGGGAATTGAACTCAGGTCATGAGGCTTGGTGGCAAGTACCTTTATTACTGAGCTATCTCATCAGCCTCAGATTTTCTTTTATAATTAATTCCAACCAGAGAAGTTAAAAATACATTTTCTATGAAAAAAACCTCCGTGTAGGCATTTTCTGAGCTGGAACATGTAGTTATATTATTTGTTGGAGGTGCTTTTGATAGTTCCTTTCCAAAAGGGACTCATAGTGGAGTGAACAATAAAGATTAAATGCATATAAATGATAGTAAACTAAAATGAATTGTTTGTGTTAGAGTGTTAATCCATTTTGAAACAGTAGCCTTTTCTAGCAGTTACTAATTTTAGATGTTAAAAAGAGCTTGGCAAAACTAATTCTCTACATACAGCCTTCCACCCACTCTATGTGTGTGCATGTATGCGTGTGTGTGTGTGTGTGTGTGTGTGTGTGTGTGTGTGTGCGCGCGCGCGCGCGCGCTGGGAACTGAACTTAGTGCTTCACATAAACTAGGAAGCACTACTGCTGAACTACATTCCCAGCCTTGGCTTGCCATTTTTTTAAATGAAAAAGTTCAAACATAAACATGTAAGTCAGATGTGATGGCTTTTTTTTTTTTTTAATGTGACCACTTGAAAATGACAGTTTTTTTCTTTTAAATCATGTATCTGTTGAACACTGCACCTCTGGAATCTATTTTATGCTGGGCTTGTCCACCAGAATAAACAATAAGTCAGTTTATTATATCTTCCAGACCTTAGTCTGGAGTAGACATCTTTTCCCCATAAAATTCTCTAGTCAAATACATTCAGGAGACATGGTAGGTTAGACAGTCTTACAGATTTCTCTACAGGGAGTCTTCCCCAACCTTTAATATGCAAATGTACATCATAAACCCTTACTACTTGCATTCCACTTAAAGAACGGGATTAAATGTATGCTTATGATAATATGATCAATAAGTAATAGGAGTCAGTGTTCAAATCTAAGTAGTCTGGCTCCACGGCTTCTCAGAGGAAGTGAGTAGTGTAAGATTGTAGTGTAGTGTACTGTATTTGTATGTAAATCTAAGATCCCAGTTAATAGAATATACACTTGAAGGTTTTTTCCTCTCTCTCTAATGGTAGACATGGTTAAAAAAGGATATCGGGGGACTGAAAAATGGCTCAAAAGTTAAGAGTACGTACTGTTTTGGCAGAGGACCCAAGTTCAGTTCCCACACCCATATTGGGGGGCTCACAGTTGCCTGTAACTCAAGCTACTGGAGATCTGACATCCTTTGTGTACATGGTATACAAACTCACACAGACACCTACACATAACTTTTTAAAACTGGTTTTAAGTATTTTTACTAGGGGTCATGTAAAAGCACTTGCCACCAAAGCTGACAACCAAGTTCAGTTCCTGGACTCACAGGTCCCACTCCTCACATGCACATCATGCCATGCACATACACAGAGAATAATAGGAACAATAAATACAGCAAGCTAGTGATTTCTTTATAGGAAATGTGAAATATAAAGAGAAGTCTGTTTTATTATCTTTCACAGGAAAGGACTAACAAAGCACGCTCTTAACCATCATCCCCTTCCAGAGCAGCTGGATGACATTTCCTCTACCAAGGACAGCCACGAAAAAGATACAAGTTCTCAAAGGTACTAGCAAAGCATACTTGCTTGCTCACTGAGTTTGCTAACTGCAAGGATTTTGTTCATTGGGACCATACCTGTGCTAGTGAAACAAAACAAGAATTTTTATCTCTATGAGAGCCTGAGGCAGGAGGCTTGCTGGAGCTCAGGCTTGCAAAGCCAGCTTCTGTACGTGTGTGCGTGTGTGTTTATATACTTTTTCTCCCACTCAGGACCGTTTAATTTTCATTCTGGAACAGCTAATGGAAACAATGTCACACTTATTTTTATAACTTTCCAGAAGAAGCAGTATGAAATCTTATTTTTTTAAATTGTGTGTATGAGAAAGAGGGAGGGAGGGACAGGGGGAAAGAGAGAGGGAGAGAGTTTGTAAACTTGTACACACAACTGCAGGTACCAGCAGAGGATAGAGGTCAGGTCCCCTGTGAACTGCCTGACATGGTGCTGAGAACTGAACTTGGGTATTCTTGAAAAGCAGTACATGCTCTAACTTCAGAGACATCTCTCCAGCCACCAGAAGTAATGTTAGATAGTTGTTACGTAATTAGATTCAAAAGGGATCAGATATATGCCTTTAATTCTATTTCTGACCTTTATTAGTCAACATTGGGAAAGTGAGTTAATAGATAATGAAATAGAAAAACAACAATCAGAGGTTGGTTCTTTGGAAGCTAGTTAGTAAAATTGACAAATATTTAGTTGGTTTGACCAAGCAAAAAAAATAAAAAGACATTATCAACATCTCATAATATGGTCTTAGGAAAATAAATCAGCTAAAGTATGTAAAACGTCACACAGTGTCTGTCATACAGTGAGTGAGTGCTGAGTAAATAATAACTGCAGTTACTCAGAAAGAGAATGAAGAGACTAGCTTCAAAGAAGGTTGGTGCTGACATAGGAGAAGTCGTAAAGTCAGAGTCTAGTGTCAGACCTGAAAATAAAACTGAGATTCCTCAAAGTTTAAAGAGAGTTAGTTAATTAGGCCTGCATGAAACAGTAGCAAGGGTTAAATGAAATGGGTATCTGTAAATGTGCTTGAGGAACTACAGGCACTGAATAAGCTTAGGCATTCTCTTCCTGTTTCTGAAATATCTCTTAATGGCAAAGAGTATGCATTACAGGTGAATCATCACGAACTGATTAGCATTATTCAGCATAGCTGCCATCAATTCTATAGAGACTGAGTAGGGCTTTTACACAATGTTTGAATTCCAAGTTTATTTTTGCCTCTACAGATATTGTATAGATGCTTATCACCTGATAAGTTGCTGAGGAAACATGAGAATTTTCTTTTTTTTTTTTTCTTCCTTTATCTCATACTATCCATTTAGTGAGTCTGACATCACCCAGGAATCACCTTTTACATCAACTGACACTGGGAATTCGCGTTCTGCTTTTCCAAGCTATGCAGGCACAGGGATCTCTACAGAAGGCAGCTCCGACTTCTCTTGGGGATATGGTGTGAGTTGCCTGCTAATCACCCCGCTGCAGTTCTAGGAACTCCAGGACTGAGGGATTGCCGTTCCTTCACCCTTTTGCAGTGTGTACATGCTTGTGCAAGGCTGTGGGTGTGTTTTTGGTGTGGTATATAGAAGTGTGCTTTCCTTGTAAGCATGTGTGGAGGTCAGAGGTCAACATTAGCTGTTTCCCTTGATCACGTTTCACCTTACTTTTGTTTATTTATTGTTTTTTTGAGACAAGGTATTTCTGTGTGACTCCAGTTATCCCAGAACTCACTATGTAGACCAGGTTAGCCTCAAACTTACAGAGATCCACAAGCTTCTGCATCCCCAGTGCTGTGATTAAAGGCATGTACCTCCATGCTCAGGTATTTTATTTGTTGTTGTTTTGAGACAAGGTTTCATTAGGTAGCATTAGCTAGCCTAGAACTTATGTAGAACAGGCTGGCCTCAAACTCATAAGGACCTGACTGTCTCTGGCTCCTAAGTGCTGAGATTATGTGCCACTATACATAACTTATTTATTTTTTAATTTATTTTTAAAATTGTTTGTGCATGCATGCATGTGTACTGGTACCACGATCCATATGTGGAGGCCATAGGACAACTTGTGAGATTGATTCTCTAATTCCCTATTTACATAGGTTCTGAGGATTGAACTCAGGTATAAGGCTTGTGAGGCAAGCATTTTAATCCACTGAGCCATCTCTCCAGCCCCCACTATGTTAATTTTAAACAATATGTTAGCTGCTCTGTCAGATCAGGGTAGACTGAGGTAGTGCGTGTAGAGTTGGCAGCACCAGAACTGTGTAACTGGTGAAAGACTCTGAACTCTTTGAACTCTTCAAGGGCCTGAATTCTTTTAACTCTTTTAACATTTCAGGGACTAGTAAGAAAGAAAAGAGAAAGGGGGGAAAGAGTCACACACTCACACACACTTGGTGGATGAAGCAAAGCAGGTTCCAACAAGCTTAACAACCTCACAGACAGATAGACATATAGACATACAACATATACATATTCATATATTGGGTGGATGGAGCAAAGCTCCAGCTCCCAGAAACTATACACACACACACACACACACACACACACACACACACACACACACACA